TACTAATTGAACGATAAACTTGTTTTATTTTTAACTTTTTCTTAATGAAACTTTTACTAACGCATTTGTGAGATGTTTCTGATTAAAATGACACCAAACACGATATAGTTTGAATTATATTTATAAACAATAGGAATAGAATAAACAACATAGAATTGACATCACGACTGAATATAAATGATGTCGGCTGAATACAAAAGATGTGTACGGACACAGAATCGGCATGTCAGCTGAATACAAAACATGTGTACGGACACAGAATCGGCATGTCGACTGAATACAAAACATGTGTACGGACGCAGAATCGACACCACGCTTGGATAAATACAACATTAAATGCCCAGAATCGACACCTCGCTTGGATAAATGCAACATTAAATGCCCAGAATCGACACCTCGCTTCGATAAATGCAACATTAAATGCCCTGAATCGCCACCTTGCCTGGATAAATGAAACCTTTGAAACCAGAGCCGACACCGCGACTGGTTTTGATTTCGATCTCTGTTAGTTTTCGCCAACATTTAACATCAATTTTAGCAAGTAATTATAATTCAAACTATATCGTGTTTGGTATCATTTTAATAAGAAAAATGTCACCAATCCGCTGGTAAAAGTTTCATTAAAAACAAGTCAAAAATAAAAAAGTTTTATAGTTGAATTAGTATTAGTCACACCGATACGTTTCGGCTCTTTCCTTTCATCATCGGACCTCTCTCTTTCTGCCACTGTCTGTCCCTTTCTACGTTCACGCTTGGCTGGTCGTCGCGTGTAACCCGAGATTCGACACCTCGCTTGGATAAATGCAACCACTGGGTCCCAATCTTGGTTGCATTTATCCAGGTTTTACTGTATCCAGCTTTTACTGTATTTCTTTTTGTGTGGAACTGCGTATTGGTATGCTTTCGTAATTGGTGCTGTCATTTGTTGTTGTTGTTCTAGCTGTAGTCCTTGTTCTTGCTGTCACTGTTACACCTATTGTTGTGGGGTTTGGTTGGAAAGTTTAATGTAGGTATTCTGCAAATGTTGAGGCCTGTTCCGCGAAGTTTCTTGCCCAGGAGCCGTCCGGTTTTCGTATTGCTGGTGTCGGTACTACTGGTCTTTTTAGTCGTTTTGTCACCTTCCATAATGAGTATTTCGAATCTTTGTTTGGTGACAAGTTTGCGAGATATTGGCTGAACTTTCTGTTACGGTATTCCTGTAGCATTTTCTTGACTTCCTTGGCCAGTGCGTTCAGTTGTCTTTTATTTTGTCTTGTTTTGCATTGTTGCCATTGCGATTTAGCTTTTCTTTTTTGTTTTATCTTTTGTAGTATATAATTCGGATACGATAGGCCGGTTTTGCTATTGTCGGTGACAGGAGTGGATGACCAAGCAGCTTCTTGGATTGTTTGCGTTAAGTAGTCTACTGCGTTTTCGATGTGGTCTGGGGTTTTTAGAGGTATACTACAGTTTAATTTCTCGTTGATTATTGCTCTAAAACTCTCCTAGTTTGTGGTATTGTTGTATAGTGTGGGCGTATCTTCTATTTGGAATGGTTATTGTAAATACTCTAGTAGTATGGGGGTATGATCGGAGCTCAGTTCCGAGTTTGGCGATATTTTAAAGTACATCCTGCTGATGTTTTTGGTTATAGCAAAGTCTATGAGGTCAGGTGTCTTTTCGAGGGCTGTTGGCTAGTAAGTGGGCTCGCCAGTCGATATTGGTGTTAATGACAGCTTTTCTATGGTGCACAACAGGGTTCTACTCCTGGGTGATGATCTTTTGGATCCCCATTGCCTAGGTTCTCATACTGTTTCATAGTGAGCTTGTGCTTTGGGGGTGAATAGATAGCTGATATATATTTGTATTTCTCCGTTTGTGGTTTCTATTGTTATCGTTGTTGCTTGCAGGTAGTCGTGTTTGGTGTTGCTATGGAGATGGTGTTTAATACTATTTCTTATAATGATAGCGGTACCTCCGTATGCTTTCCCTGATGAATGTTTGGTATCATATATTGTACTATGTGGGATTTTAACGTAGTTTCTTGTTGTAAAGTGAGTTTCTTGTTGTGAACTATCATGAATGTTATTTGCTGGGTTTGTTGCTGCAACAGTGTAGTTTGTGTTGCTAGCATATTGGTTATGAGTTCTGTGTTTTTAATTGATTGGATTAGAAGGTGTTTTATCTCTGAGTATTCTGTTTTATTGAGGTAGTTTGGGTGAGTGGAGGAAATTTGGTTGTGATTTTGTCGGTCTACGTTATGTTCCGCGGTTACTTGCGCATATGTTCTATTGCTTGTGCCCAAGAGTTGGGCATGATTAGATGTGGGAGTTGGTGACGATTTGTATGCTTCGCTGTTTGGCAAAGAATTGTTATTTGTTTTTGTTGGGGTTTGTTCAGTTCTTTTCCTTCACGTGGGGTATAGTTTTAACCGCAGCTGTTTCCGCACTATGCAGCCTTTGTAGTTTGCAGGATGTTTATCTTGGCAATTGCTACACTTTACGTTTTCGATTTTACCTTGCTTTGAACACAATGTCGTTAGTTGATTACCTGCACACTTGACACAGACTGGGGGTCTGTTACAGTAGTTTTTCGTGTAACCGTAAATTTGACAGCGGTGGCATTGCGGTATGTCACGTTTCGATCTTGGCGGTTCGAATCTAATCATAGTGTTTAATAGTTTTTCTATATTGTATATATCTTTGTTGTTATTGTTTGGTTCGAGTTCTATTATAAAGAGTGGCAGTAATTGCTTGGTATCGTATTTAACTATATTTTGTATTGTTCTGACAGAGTGGTTGTATTGTTTTAATTCTTCTATGATTTTACTCATATTTGATTTTGGGTGAATTCCACCGAGTATTACTTTATAACTACGATCTGTTTTTGTTTGGTAAGCGTAAAAGTTTGCATTTTTGCTTTTTAAAGCGTCCACTATTTTTCTATAAAGTTCTGACGACTTTAACTGAATTTTTATTTGATTGTCTTTTAATTGTTTTAAGATGTAGTTGTTGTTGCCTGCTTGTTGCTCTAGCAACTCCGTTAACATCTCTATAATTTGTGCTTGTATGTATATTGGAGGAGGTTTAGCTGTTTCAGTTCTATTGATGGTGTTGGTTGTGCCGATTGGTGTATTGTCTACTGTCAATACGCTGTACGTATTATCAGTAGGAATTTCTTCTAGCCACGAGTTAGTTTGTGAGTGTGAGCAGAGGTCTATTGCAGGATCTAAAGTACCGATGTATGAGTGGATTTTTCTTTTTTTGCTATTATGAGGATGCTATGGTGCGGATTTAGCCGACTTACTTGTGGTCATTTCATCGTTGTTGGTTGTAGAATTTGATAGGTTTTGCAAGGTGTAACTGTCCCCCAGTTTTGAAATTTTTAACTGTATTGGTGCCATTTCTGGTTCGGTTTCTGTGCTGGTGTGGGTACAATGAGTTGCGTTGATTCTGTCGCGGCGTGTATTCACGCCGGAGAGCCGATGGGCGAGGGACACGCGAAGGAAGGACTGCAGCCAATCGGCTGCCGGCGTGTGTATGTGTTAGTACCACACGCCGTGACAGAATCAACGCAACTCAATGTACACAGACACGGAATCGCACCAAGACAGCCTAAGCAGCTGCTTTGTGTACACTTAGGTTTGAACTATATTGATATCTAACTATGTTTACAACTCGCGAGCAGTACGAACAAACGTCTTGCCTGTTCAAAAGCATAGCGAAGACTGAATTTATTAACTAAATTTATTTTATGAAACATTTTGACATTGGCACATTTATAGAAATGTCGTTATAGTAATTTCTAAAAAGAATACACAATTGTTTATAAAGTTAATAATGAGTTCAACTTATTTTTATTAAAATATGATATTGACACTTCTTGAACCAAGCCATAGATTTACAAAAGTACGATATTTTCTACAGTTTTTGAAATTCCATGTAGAATGTTATTTTTACATATACTGTACATAAAGATCATTGCAATATTTCGCTAAAAAGAAGAAGAAGAAAAATATTACAATGTTTTATGTTTATATTATAGATAAATCTGGTAGATAGAATTATAGATTTTGTTTTACATAATCTTAAAAACTTTCAACATTATATCATTTTTCTTTGAATAAATTTCTAAAATAAAAGAATATCCTTTATTGTATAAAACTACATTTTTTCAAGATTAAAGAAAATCATGCAACGAAGGATCGCTGTTGCAGTGTTAGAATTTTAAGATAAATCTATTCAGAAGTGTAGAAAATATTAAGTTTTTACACTTAAAGTAGCCAACTGAGAAATGTTATTTTTGAAATTATCCGTTTTTAATTGTAATGCATATGTAGAAATACGACATGTAGCACGCACCAGATTTAAGTGATTTCGATTACATTTTCCGATTCACATTACACGAATTATTATTATTCTGTCGGACGATTCTGCGACTTCCATGACAGTATTGTAGTATTATCGTAGTTTAAACGTTCAATAATGTGTTATACAATTGTATCGCAGCAATATTTTGCGCAGGCAATTCGCCACGCACGAATTCACTACCTTCACGCGATCATCGTTTTTCAGTAGATTTCTATCGCAAATAAACAAAGAACATGTCTAATATAAGTGGAAACAGAATTCAAGGAGATTAGTGAAAAAACAAGGTGATTGTTCTATTTTCTGTTCGTATCCGTTTGAATAAGTTTCTACAAAATTATTTTTCTTAACATTTTTGTTTACAAAGAGATTTTAATAAAAGTTTGGACGTGAAAATATTAATAGGTTGACCGTCATATTAAAGATGGACTTATGTTAGTGTTGGACCTCTAATCATTAGGAATACGAATAATTCATTTTTTAAAGATTATTAATACAAAATAAAATTTCAATTCTTTACTTTATATTATTAGTACAGTTGTAATGCTACTGAATATTTTCATTTTAATTATTCAATTATATTATATTTGAAACGTACTGACGCGTCAATCAACGTGTTAAAGGATTTTATATCTTAATTATAATTACACTTACTGTTAAAACTGCCATCACAGCAACAATGATCACTTATGACGCTTCCATCTTTACAGTAAATCATCTCCGAATCCGTACAAGGTTTGCATCCTGGAATTGGTGCTGTAGAATTTATAAGAATGTTATATTTCAATTTGCTGAATACTTAATACATATGTATATATTCTGGTGTTACCACAATTATTAGTCATTATTTTATTCAAGAAATTAAACTTTTCTTTTTGCATTTTCTGCTAGTGTATTATCTCAAAAACATCATGTCAAGGTATTTTGGATCTAAAAAAGTAATTATCTGACAGTAAGTAATTTTATTTTTCTACATATAACATAAGACGGCAAAGCATATTTTAAACGTCATTTTTTTTTTTGAAAATACATCTTTTAAAATTAGCTGACATGATATATTAAAAACTAATCACACAATTAATTTCCCTTTTCCTTTATGGGCTTACCTAGAACTAACTAATATTTTGGAAATTTTTGTTACTCAAAAAGCAAATACTTATGTTTCCAAAAAAATGAAATTTTTTCCCTTTTTTCCCCAAGAAAACATGAACAATATAAACATCACAAAATATTCCACTAGCTTGAAGCTATATTATACGTGTTGTATATTCCCTATAAACATACCAGTACACCATAGGAGATTAAGAATATCTTTAGTTGTTTTCTTTCAAACTGTAACATCTCAGATCGTGAAATAAACCGTGGAGAACAATTTTTTTTTTAGACACTTCTATACAAATGATGTAACTAGAGATAAAATCTATATTTTTACTTAACAAAAATTTGAAATATTCTTGATACGAATAAGAATAAAGCTATAAAGTTAGATAATTAATAAAAAGCTGAATAATTTGCTTTTAAAAAATTTAAAAAAATGCCTTCTTTAAGGACTGTCACACTGCAGAGACCTCTTAATTACTTTATTTATTGTAGTATATAAACGCAAATAAAGTAGGTATTGTTTTTCCATCGTTCGTAAATTTCCATTGCATACCTCCAATTTTAAAAACTTCCTTTAAAAAATAAAGGGTATCTTAGAAGGAATGATAATCCCTTAGGAGGGGTGGTTGCCGAGATGATTCTAAACAACTTTTTCTTTTACCAAAATGTTGGTTAACGCTTCATTTTTGAGTTACTAACGAAAAACATTGTCCAATTAGAGCGCGCGTAGAGCATGGACTGAATCGCGAGAGTGTTGGCTACTGATTACGTTCGAACCGTGGTCATGAACAAACGTGGCGACATTACGGCGGCACAATTTGTGGCTTCGTTTTCGAGATATATGCAATTGGAAATTAGAATATCAACTTACGAAGTACGTGTTCCATTTTCAAATAGCTAACAGTTGAACAAATAGTCCATTCTCTAGTGCCCTGAGTTTGAACGTAATCAATACCCAACACTCTCGCGGTTCAGCTCGCGCTCTAATTTCACACGCTCTGTTTTTCGTTAATGATTTAAAAATGAAGCCTTAATCAACATTTTGGCAAAGGACAAGGTTGTTCAGAATCACCTTGGCAATCACCCCTCCAATGGATTATCACCCTTTCTGGAACACCCTGTATAAATGTTTCATGTAGGACGTCTATAGGCGTTTATAGTACATATATGTAAATTCGGTAGTCATCTCACGATAAGTAAAACTATAGTCGTTCTTATTGTTAGTAGCGAAAGGGTTAAGTGATTGAAATTTATTAGTTTGAGGTTAATCGCTAAGGGATTACTGTATTTGAAAATACTGCAACGAATAATACGTACGTTCAATCAGAACCTATAATTCTAGAAAATTAGCGTCCTTTTGTTAAATTACTCTGCAACTCCCAGTTATTTCTAGATACTTATTTCAGTTAATGAGTACACTGCATTACCTTCGACTCGAGGTATATACTGTTATTGAGAACATACCGCATTGAATCGAGCCAGTATAAGTATAATTCATGTTAATTAATGTTCTTACGGCTTACGCAAGTGTTTTAAAATTGTGTCGTGAACGTACACGGGATTACTATTGTTCTTAACTTTACTTTAAATAAGTACCATATCGAGCACGGTAAAATGGCCTCTGTAGACAAAATGACGATGTAGGGGTAAAAGGCCCTTGTTATTCGCTATAATACATGAGAAATAATTTTAAAGATATTAATACTAATCTTAAAGTTCATTTAAAAGAACTTAATATAGGTAATCTAGGAAGAATATAATCTACCAATTCACGGAAGGAGAGTGTTGCTATACCTGGTATCTGTTTAAACAGATCAAAGCCAAGTTATTTTTAGCGATAAGTTAAACAGATCTCTGTACTACGTAAAAATGTTTAATAGATGTGGAATTAAGTTTCACGGGAAGCCTATAATAGGGGTGATGCTTTTTAAAACTTTTCTGTATTTTTTCACAGGGCACCTTGTCGATGTGTTTACCATGAGTATTCTTAATACATCTTTTCAGACCATTTTTAGTGATTAACTACTAATTATCAAATGTTGTGTTTTTAAAAAATAAAAATGCAATTTTCTTTACAATATGTTATGATATTTAAATACATTTATTTAATATTAGAATTTTATTACAAAACAAATTTGTAAACTAACATCTTTTAAGAATAACCAAGTCACGCTTGTAAAAATCTATTTCACAAATAATACTATTAGATTATTAAATCGATTTTTTATAAAATAATTGTTAACAAAAAATACAACCGACTTCAAAAGGCGCTAAAAAGTATAAAATAATTTATATTTCGTTTATACAACTACGTAACAATTATTAATAAAACTTGCTGCATTAACAAAATGTGCTAAAAAGTATTAAATAATTTCTATTTCATTTATACCAATACTCCACAGCTATTCTAAATACATTTCAACCTTTTCAGAGGCGGCGCAAAATTAAAAATACTCGAATATACGATGCTGCCAATAACGATTTGATTGCGGTATGGCAAATATGGTAATTAATAAGTCGTAAGAAAACAAATTCGAAACGTTATAGGTACGGCTGAAAACATTTGTAATTGTAACGATTGTATTAGAAGTTGCCAGCACTTCTGATTGTACACTGACTGACGATGAGTTCCATCGAAGTGTCGCAGTGAAGTTGGCGTACTAACACATTCACGCCGCGTCGGTGAGCCGATTGGCGAGGTGCCGTCGCCGCGGCGTGAATGTGTAGCCAACTTCACTGCGACAACTTCGATGGGACTCAGTGTATGTATCTACATGTAGTTAATCCGCAATGGGTATGTTGATTCCTGTTGAATATTGTTAATTTGAAATTATCAAATGTATCATTCGGTAACAGGTGTGTCATAAGTTGCCAACTCCTGAACTAGGATCTTCCGAGTAGAAGAAAAGTTTTTAATTTTGCGCCGCCTCCGAAAAGGTTGAAATATATTTAGTATCCTATTTAACGATTAAGTAGATTTTATTAATAGCTGTGGAATACTGATATAAATGAAATAGGAATTATTTCACACTTTTTAGCACATTTTGAAGTCGGCTGTATTTTTTTTTTTTTGTTAAAAATTATTTTATTTCACACCTTTTAGTGGAACGAGCAGTACTTGTAGGATGCCGTAAGGAGGCTTGCCGTTCTTATTGGTTAATTGCAATAACGATAGTTATTAACAATAAGAAAAATTAACAATAAGAAAATTCTAATATTACATAAATTTTTGCAAATGGGATAATCGTGGAAAGATCTACGAGATGTGAAAAGTTTCATCGCGATCGGTGCATTCCTTGCAGAGTACTGCTAAAGAATAGGATTTTGCAATAACAATAGTTATTATATATTTATACTGATTTTCGATCAACGCGATAAATGCTTTAATTAATGGCAAGAAATACTGTTTTTGTTTTTCAGTAATAGTGAGTTACTGAGACGCAAGGTATGCGGATAAGTTATTACATTTCATTTTTATGGAAAAATTCCTGATTTATCCAAACCTACCCTAATCCTATCCCTACCGTAACCTAACCTAACTCAGTACACAAGTATACAGATACACATGCATAATTTTCTATCCAAATATTCGATTGCGCTGCTTCGTGTCTCATTAACCAACCCACTATTTCGTTTGTGGTTTGTACTTGGGTGATTAGTTGTATTCCCTCACGAATCCAAAATATAAAATATAAAGAGAAGTGACCACCCAATAAAGAGAAGTGTGAATCGATCTTGGGGGCCTTATGTGGCGAAGCCGAGAAACCATGTATGATCTTTGTCTTTCCGTGCAGGAGAGACAAGGATAGCATGATAATCAAATAACCATACTGACATATCTACAGGGTGATTCTCTCGTTAGTGTACTCAAAGGAAATGCCGCCATACCAGTATGAATGGACCCAAGCTCTTTTTTGTTATCGATACCTTGACAGGTGGTGCATACTGCAGCTGTATGGATGAAAATGTATGTAACAAGAAGGAAAGTCCCATTTAAACGTTTCCTTCTCGTGAGACTTTCCTTCTTGTTACACACATTTCCACGCACACGGCTGCAGTATGCACCTCCGTCGAGATACCAATGACAGAAAGAAGGGGTTGGGTCCATTCATACTGGTGTGGTGGCATTCCGTTTGAGTATACTAGCGAGAGAATCACCCTGTAGAACACTTTAAATCTAGCGATTTCGTAGTTTAAAGATTTTCATGAAAAGTATCAATATTTTTTCGTAATTTTTTTTTTAATATTCTTCGTACAATTATACAATGCCATGCAGAGTTCAATTTTGCAATTTGACTTTTGAAATCTTATAAAAAATGTATTTTTATAAAAAGAAAATGTTTGTTTTTTAATTTGTCCCCAAAAAACGTAAACTACTTTTCCGTGCTTCGCTGCTGTTTCGCCAAAAGTGCTACTATCACTCCTGTTGGCCCTTAATGAGCTATCAAATTAACAACTTAGAACATGTACTAATAAGCGAATAGAAAATATTATGAAATGTCATAACTTTAACCAAGCTCGCTTTTTAACATAGTGAACAAAATATTAAGATGTCCAGACAATGTTATAAAAATTAAATTTTAAAAATCATTCTATCTTTTAATATGTATTGGTGAAAATCGAAAATTGTATATACCTGGATAAATTTCCATCTTCTTTGCTTCAGCAATTGCTTCCTCGTAGAGTACTTCATGTTCCAAAAAATACTCTTCGTCCGGATGGTGGTTTACTATTGTGACCGATTGGAGATTACCGAGGGTCAAAATAAATACCAAAGCTCCGAATATACCAATATATTTCATGCTATGGCCTCTTGTCCAACATCTTTGAGAGTGATCGACACCACGTAACTTTTACACATTCTAATTCGTCCGCCAAGTCAAACATAAGTTTTAAATGAAAAAGTAATACTTATTCGAATTGATGGAAAAGATTTATCTTTTTGTATTCATTATGTGAAATGGTGTGGTATGAAAAAGTTTTTGGAATAAAAAAATAAAAAATATTTAATTGTAGTCGATTTCAAAACAACAAGAAATACCAGTATAAAGCTCAGAACGTACTCATTTCTAATCAATCTGTTTGTCAAATTGTTGAAGTATTAACTTCCTTAATTTTTTATGGTAATGAAGTAAATGTAATCCCATAATTTTCTTCCACTTCTTTTAATCAAATTTTTCACTAGTTAAATTTATTTTTTGGGTGGATGGGGGTGGCTGGGGGAGGGGGGGACATAACGCAGTTTATATGCCATGAAACGATTTTTATATTTCTTATACATATATATCACGAACCCTAAATTGTTTCAATGATGATATTTTTGCGAAAAACTGTAAACTTTGATTTGTTTTCACTACCAGATGACTGAAGAACGAATGTTGAGATCTACATATATTTATCTCATTTTCGGTATTTTAAATATATTTCATGTTTTATCACAAAAATGATTTACTTTTTACTACAAACAATATTAATACAATTTAGAAAATCAACTTGCATAACAAGTTGAACAGAACTGAATTTTCCATAAGCATCATATCATTTTTATTAGGTACGTCAAATCATTACCAAAAACTTTTTCACAACTTTTCCATAGAGGTATATGTATAAGTACATCCATATGTATAAGAATACAGTGTAAGTGGACGCGGTATAGGAATAGAAATAGAACACTGCATAAGGCCCCCCCTTCTGTCCTTATTTACATGCAAGGATACCTGCGACCAGGGCCTTCAATTGGCGGTATCTTTGTTTACGTATGTGCACTCTCTCATTGATTGGCATTGCGCGCAATATTTCGAAAATTTTTACAGAGAGAAATATAAAAGCTTTACAATTCCCGAGAATTGCGTTTTTCAGTAAAATATTTTATATAATTAAAGAATTTAACATTAAATTGTATATAAAAAGGACACAAAAAGCTCATATAAAGCATTCTCGTTCTAATGCTATCGTTTTTGTTTTTTGCACTTCATTAACTGTATTTTATTCAAATCTTTCTCTCGAAGTTTTTGAAAAACACACAGACTACTTTTCATTGTAAATATTTACAGTACTTGATAATTATCAGCAAAATTATTTATGAATAAATAATTATATTTCAAAATGTTCTTTATTCCTTTACATTTTGTAATATAAAGAAGAATTTGGAAAACTTTTTGACATTACTATACTTCTACTATTATTTGATTATTAATTGTCAATTATTTTATTACATATGTTAAATTTGTTTTAAAAAGTTATCCGTAATCAATAGAAATCAATATCAATATAAGCCATTTATTTTGAAATTGGTATGAGTTACTTTTTGCAAAAAATAAATTAAAGCTGATTTTGAAGTATTTGAAAAATATATAGTCTTTTTATCGTTAACTATAAGCTTACGAAACTAAAGAGCTAATAAAAAAAAAACGTGTTTTTAAATTGTCAACGTAAAAGGCACAACCAAATATTGCATATTTGCAACTTTTTATATTAGTTGGTTAAAATCTGTTGGAAATTGTTTGGATATGTATATGTGCTGACAATGAGAAAAATATAAGTAACCGAGGTAATAAATATAAGTATACACATTAAAATTCAAAACATTTTTAATAGGTTTAAAATAGCATAAAAGCGACTGATGCCTACTTCAAAATAAACGGCTGATATAATTTCTTAATTACATACGGCTTTATATTAATTAATAAGGTTAATATTATTACATTAATTTTTTGTTTATACGATATGTTTTCAGTTTCCCGTATTTTTCAACGTAATCAAGTAATCACACTTCATTGTTAAAAATTTGTATACCTTTGTTTTCTATAATCCAGACATTTCATATCTATCTATGTATTATGTATGATTGTCGTAACCGGAAGTATGCACAAAACTGCACGATAAGAACACTGAGGGAACAGTACTATTACAAACGATAACAAACGATAACAAACGTCGTACCATCGTCATCCAAGGTGAACTTTGAAAAGAACCCTTTGTACTCAATACAACTGTTACCTACGAAGCTGTTATTCCAAACGGTTTTTATTAATACATGGTTACAACGACGATTTAATTTTTACACTTACATACATGTATGTATGTATTATCATTTATTGATCACATAATGCTATGAACATTATTTACCTGATTACTATATTTGCAATGCATTAATTACTAGTATATGTATGCGTGTATGTACAGTGTTGAGCATTATCTAAATAAGTAAATCTTGATTTTAATCAGCAGCATTTCACATCCATAGAAACATGGGAAAATATTCAAATTGAAAATAATAATTAGAAACGCGTCATTTCAAAAGGCATTTTATTTAAATTAAATATTTAGTATTTATTATTTAGAGGTTCAAATAAGAAGCATGAATAATTATTTGTTATTTGAATAGTTCTAAATAAATTATTTGAAATAATAAAATTAATTGTTATTTACAAATAGATACAACTTAAAATAATTGTTATATTTGTTAATTATTACTTTTTATTTATTTTTATTTACATTTCAGAAATAGGTGCCTACTAAATAAATTATTTTTGACATTATTTAAATAACTTCTATTTAAATAAAAAATTTATTTGTTATTTATAATCAAAATTATACTTTTATTTACTGTTTAAATTAAAGATTTCCCCAATTACGATATTATTAGATTATAAACGCCATATTTATGTTTGACCTTAAAATTTAGTATGCCAGTATTCCGCTGATTGAATGCGTTGCATTATTAATACAGTATTAGTATCAATATCTACAATATGTATGTGTTATATAATATTTAAGGACTTTGCATAAAAATATTTTAAATATAGGTACTATATAATAATAGATAATTAATCATTATTTAGAATTGAATTTTAAAGCGAAGGTACAAAAGAATTTTTATTAAATTTCAATGCACACGTTTGAGTTGTAATGAAATAAAATTACAGCTTAAGTTCAAGGTAAATCAAACAATTATATCAACTTATCTTTACATCTGTTATTCAAGCTAAATCGGTGCGCCTAATATCGCGTGTCTGTATGTACATAAAACATATGGTTGACTTTAATATCAAAGGTTTTGATATCATTCATTGCATACCTTCAATCCAGTCGAATTTGTATTTATCCGAGCAAAAATTTTACATTTTTTAATGATATAGTAATTTCTTCTGCAAAATAGTATTTACAAAGAAAATAAAAACATATTTGGATATTGCTTCTTTTAAAGAACAACCAATTGAAAAGAGGTAGGTACAAAGGTATATGGAATTGAAATTGAAATTGAAATTTTCTAAAATAAATTCTAAAGAATCGTAAAGTGGTGGATCCTTTAATTTCATATTGTGTACAAGAGTACATAAATAGGTACATATATAAAGTGTTAGAATTAGCAATTTCAACAATATGAATTTTTATCTTAAAACATATTCCTTATAATTAGAATAAGTTACTATTTACTAAAAATATTACACATACGCTTAAAAGTATAAATAATTTACTTAATATTACAGTTGATTATTATAAGCAATATAAGCTTTTTCTTCATTAAAAGAGAATTCCTTCTTCATCGTTATATTTAGATTTAGCATAACAATGATAATCGATAACAAAATATTGCAATTAGTTATCAAATGTTATTATTATTATTATTATTATTATCATCCTCATCATCATTAGTATTATTATTATAAACTGTTTAATGAATAATTATTCAATTACGATTTATCAGAGTTCAAAAAAAAAAAAATCAATAATAATCAATCTCAATATTTCAAATAATTTATTTAGACTTGTTTAATTAACAAATAATTGTTACTGCTTTTCATTTGACCTTCCAAGTAACAATTTTTTATTTAAGTAATTATTTGAATTAAAGTTTATTTAGATAATACCGCACTCTATTGACTTATTATGACCACCTTTGATACTATGTAACTTCTATGAATAAACATTTTCATATCTTTACAAATAATGGAGATAAGTAAAATGATTGAGTTAGCTGACTCTCCCTATATAGTATAATACATATGTGGGTATATACTGATGTTCTAGGAATGAATATATATAAAATTATTTATTTTACTTATTTTTCATTTTATAGGTATAATCAATTTTGCTGCTGATAATATGAGCAGCATACATAATACATAATAGTGACAGCATCCTTGCTAAAATACATACAAACAATAAAAATAGTGAAAAGAATTGAAACATTACAATACAGAGTGAAGCACATAAGGTGTGAAAATATCAGTAAAATGAAAAAAATTATTTTATTTACTTAATTTACTTAATTTACAGTCGGTGCTTAAGTTATCGACACCATAGTTAAAGATGCCAAGGATATTTTAAGATTTTTCTTTTTATTTTATTTGAATGGAATCACACATCTTTGAAACAATACATATAGTGGTATAGTGACAAAGAGAAAGAAATAAGAAAAGAAAGAAAAAAATCAATAATTCACAATGTGTAAGACATTCTGTATTCTAAAATGACGAATATTATACAAATTTAATATATCTCCACTGACGTAACTAACGATAAGATTTCAATATGAAGTGTCTAATATTGGTTAATTTTGGCTTAATTTTTTCTTTTCATAATTTTACGTAATAAGAACATTATTGTATATTTTGTTTACAGTTACGTTACATGTTACATTCCGACCGAAATATTTATTTCGGTTAAAGCAAACTTTTGCGAGGACAAGGACAGTCCTCATTTGGAGGGGGCCCGACCAACCCTAGACCCCTACCTATTACTCACGAATTATCGATTTTCTTACTATTGTATCCTAACACTTTATTATGCGGAATGTTCCGCTTAAACATAAGACGATGGCCTTAAAACGTCTTTAACATCTTCGCGTATAACAAAAAATTAACCCCTTGCAGTTCTGTGTCCAATATAATCGAATGATTTTATTTGATTTTTATTAAAGTTTAGTTTTATTAAAAAGATAAACATTTTTATTTTCCTCATTTTAATTTTGTCAATTTAAGTGCGGACCTGCCGGAGTACACCGAATAACACTTTGAAAATAATTACCGCAAAGGGTTTAATGTTTAATTAAATCGAGAAGTGTACTTTTTGTTTACCTAAATACATCTTTTTTGTAATAACAATGCTTTTGCCACTATTTTATTGTCACGCTTTATCTACCTCACACTGTATCAACATCTTTTTACATAAATATAGTAAATTATACATATATTGTTTAGCAATTTAAAATAACATTTTTTTTAAAGAGTCGTTTGTATTTTATATCAAGTAAGTATGAAAACTGATTTGTAGGAACAAAGGAATTGAATATAATAATTATGTTGATTAAAGATTTATAATTATAAATTATACTATGAAAACAAAGAAAACAAACAAAGAATGATGACAAAAATCAATCATTGGCATACTTAACACAGTGATTGGCACAATATTGACAACAAAAATTATTACTGTTTTTTATTTTAATTACATTAAACAGTATTGATACTCATAAATAGGCATAACGTATAGATATCCAGTTATTCAGCTTTTATGCTAACTTTTGTCAAAATATTAAGCTACTAGTAGACTTGAAATTATTTAAATAATCATTGAGCTATTATTTCATGTTATGAATATTATTAGAATCTTATTCTTCTCGATAAAAACTTAATTTATTATATTTTTAGCATATAAGAATATTTTATTTTTACATGTATCATATTTTTTGTTGTCACTATTGACAATTAAATAATATTAACTAGATGCTTGAACCTACTTCCTACTGTTACCGTGTTACAAAATCAACACACGTTTGAAAAAATCATTTTTAACATATTATTCTTATACATTCTTACTAATGATGAAAATACCAATAATTAATGCACTGCTAAAATTAGTATAGTTTACCTAATTGTTTCGAAGAATACGACGTTTTTCCATACGGATCGAAAATAATTAATTTAATGACAAAAAAACAACATAAAAATGGAAGTAACAAGAAAGAACGGAATAAATACAAGAAGTTACACTCGTTGCGAGACATGACCTAATGACAAGGACGAACGATCACTAATTACACTCAATTAAGGGCCTAGCACACAAAAAAATGTTACCATCACGTTTTCTTTCTATTGTCTTAATTTCTCGTTGTATCAGTAATGTTTTTTGTCTGTTCTTTGGAAAATTCAAGAAACCGACAACTACATAGTCATAAAATGCTCAAGATTGATAGTGAGCATGAAGTTAATTAAGGTATTAGATACGATGCGACAGAAAGCGGACACGGTTTATCTACTTGAAGAATTACGTCACGACAGTGCCTTTTCTAGAAACTTAAGAAAAAGAAAATATACGAAGTAAGAAACACAAAAATAATAAGTATGTATCTACAAGAACGTATTTAACACAGTATCTATTTATGTAATTTCGTGGAATCATTGTCTTTAATAAGAAAACTGAATATTTGTGTAAAAATGAGTATTATATTAAAAAATTAGATATAATACCTACACTAACTTATCATTATAGTAGATACAAAATTGGTTAGCTGCTTAAATGAAGTATTGAAATTATATTAACATTTTCTTTGTATCCAATGTTTATAATTTTATATTGAAACAATGAACTGTGTTTAATTGTTTAACGATAAGTAGAACAATCGAGTGGGAAATTTTACTGGAATAGGGAAATTTTTCTTTCGCAAAATTCAAAATCTTTTTTCACTGTTATAATGAACAAAGATATTCTAAGGAATATTTTAATAGAACTATACAGCAAAATATCTTTATCTGTTCTGTTAACCTTTGATCTCTATTAAATTATCTCTGTTTCCTCCTTTCCACGAGAAGAAAAACCCGTTGTTATCTATATGTAATTCTGTTTTTAGGAAAATCTAACATCAAAAGCTATATATGTTTATAAAGCTTTCACTTTCGTTGGCGTAATTTTATCAAGTAATCTCTCACGTGTTTCTTTTCATTTATTTGTTAAATCCCTGATTTATTCTTACCATTATAATGCTCTGTTTATACCATAAGTAATTTTTGGTAAGGTATCCATTCGAAATATCATGTTAAAGGCTGCTATCACAATGCAATCAGAATCCTAAACTCAGATTATACTCGGAGATACACAAACTGAAGGTATAAAAACTTCCGGTTAAGAAACTGTAAGTTCGTACATTTTTCATTGAACGCGATGAGAAGAATGAAGTGTATAGAACACGTTATAAAAGTTCGACGGATTCGAATTGAACGAGCATCCGTTGAAGACTACGGACCGCGTTGAACTGTCGACCGAGGGCTGAAAAGAGTATTAGGCACCACCACCACACCACCACTACCTCCATACTGCTCTTACTAGTACTTACTTGTCACTCGTCACTACTATTCACTTACTATAGATCGTTCTGTTGTACTACTACCTTCTTTCAGTACTGGCCATCATCAAAATAAATTTTCATTCAAATGTTAAGTATACGAATTAATTCAGATCTTTTCTTTTTTTTTTTTATTAATTAAACATTTATTTTTAGAAAGTCGTGGTAACTTCGAACCGTTATTCCGTCATGGATAGTTTTGCTCCAGGGATTAGTATCATTTCAAACCGATTAGCAATGGAAATGTAAGTCGCGGGAAAATATTCAAATTTAGAATAGTAATTAATGGCAGCAAATTAATTCCTACATTTACTAACCATTTAAATAAAAAAAATCATTTGTTGTTTGGGAATTAAAATAAAAAGTAGAAATAAATATTTATTATTTGAACCAACCTTAAATAAACTATTTGAAATAATAAGATTATTTGTTATTTACAAATATAGCTTAAATTATTATTTTTAAACAATTTTAACAATTCGGCATTATCTAAATAAATTTTAATCTTAATACGAGCCGTACAGATTATCTCAGTGCATTTTCTATTTTCTGTCATAAATTTACTTTTAGAGAATTATGGTAATTTTAATTATTCAAATATTCATAGTTATTACCGGTAGTTTTATAGTGTTTCAAATTCGCAGAATGGCGACAAAATATATTAGTTTTTAAATTTAAATCTAATTTTTAAGGCATTTTGTGTAAATAGAAAGTTATTCGTTATTGTTATGGCAGCGCAGTGTATTATAGCAAATCTGCCATCGAAAAATATGTATCTACATAAAAAATATATAGTTCCATTTAAAAAATGAAACTTGACCATCATATCTTTTAAACTAATAATGTAAATAAATTTTCGTTCACGCCAAAACATAGGCCCCATTGTACCGTGTAATTTCCATATAAACAATTTTTCGTGTCATCAATAGTTACGAAATAAAACAGCTGTAACCACTTTAAGGCGGACACCCTGTATTTTAGGCATACGCGCCCAGAGTCATAAAACTCGGTACCCGATACCCTGGTCAATATGGATTAGCGCGATCTAATTACACAAAAATGTTATAAAAAAGGCTACAGTTAGCACGAAGAATCAGTCGAAAATCAGCAAGCCAAGCAAACAAAATCTGCATCCGAATCATTATGGGCTTTGAGGCTGTTTTCAACCTTTAACCAACTGATTCTCGCGTTCTGCCCCCTCGGCAGACGACTTCGTACAACCAGAATTGCTTCTGGAGCCAGATTTACGCACTAGAACATTCCTTGAACCTCGGCGGTCCTCCTATTTCTACGAACAAGAATATCAACGTAGAAAAAGTTCTATTGATACTGAAGTTAATTAATTACAGAAGATCACCGTATCAACTTATGCTAATACAAATCACATGTATTGGCTTAGAAATCATTTCCTTATATACCTGTGTTAACACAAATTATGAACACGAATAACAATAAAAATAGCAACAAAGAAGATCATTAGATAAAAGTAAAGAGAAAAGAATAAATTCTACATAGATTGTTATGAAATTGAAAAGAATTCGATGCATTGCTTTTGAACTTCTTACATGATCATAATAATTATTGTAACAAACCGAACGATGTCCGTTACTACTTCGCGATTGATCGCGCGGATTTTAGTTTTCCCCCTTCGAGGCTATAATTCTCGAATAACTATATTAGTCTGACGATTCGTTGAAGCGTGTTATTTTAATAATTAATTTAAAATAACTGTGGGATTTCAGTTTCACGAATTGATGACTGGTTGCATGTCTGTGAATCTCGATTGATCGACTATTAGAACGCACGAAGTCGGACGTTGAACTGCAAATATCGATCTGATGACTGTTTCAGATCTTATTCGTTCGAAAAAACTTAATAGTAAGTGAGAAGTGAGTGACGATTCCTCGATTTTCGCATGTTCGGAAGAAACATAATTGATTTTCGCACGAAAAATTAATTTTCCAATCAGCGTGTCCCTTAGTGTCGCGACCACCCTTTTGCACCCTTAGCACGATTTTAACTTAGCATGGGTCGGGCAATACTTGAGCATACGTGAGAACTTCGAAAGTTCCATCCAGGTTAACCCTCAAAGGCCAAGTACCGCTGTGTCGACCTTTCTCTAATTTACCCTTCGAAAGAAACAAGTTCATGGCATGATTTCAGCTACATATTGAGAACGAAGCGAAAATGATGAAAAATTCTAAATGCATTGTAAGAAAAAGGTAAATGACTATTGGTGAAATATTTAAACTCATATAGACTGCTTTTCGAAATCTCGTACATACATATACATATTGTTCTTTCGTACGGAACACTTATGAAAAGGAAAAGAAGCTAAAAAGACCATTAATCGGCACTTTTTTAAGAAACTGTGAGTAATTTTAAAAAGTCAGTATGATGGAGATAAAAGTTATGTAAAAGTCTACTGAATCGAGGTAATACAAAATAAAAAAAGGTCTACCTATTGTCAATAATAAAAAACATTTGACCGTTTTATTGAATTTTATATATTAGCAAATTGAATAAATTGAATTTAATAACTGAATTGAATAAATTGAAAATTTGTTGCATTGTTCGTTTAAATTACGAAGGTGCGTTACCTACAATGCTGTTTAATATTATATAAATGTATAAATTTAATATTGTATAAATACAATATCATACTCTAATGTAGATCATTTTCTTTTCCCCAGTAATGTTTTTACTTACATAGAAACCGTTGTGAACGGCCATGTATGAGCAAGCATTGAGTGGGTGCCTTGTAAAGGGTTGCTTTCCCTTACTTATTGATCTCGTCGGCGAATCATTCTATGATTTCAGCTCTATGTATATCTGTCAAAGCTTACTTGGAAGGATAGTTCTAAACGTCTCTATCTAGTAATTGCCTGATTATTATTAACAAACGTTTCATAACAATATACCTTAGTTTATTTACTTTGCAATAACTGAATTAAACTTATTAAATAAGTATAAATGCTGAGAAATTTATGTACAGTCTTTCTGTTTTTATTTTAAAGAAGAAATTACTGATTAAAAATAGTAAGACGCGATTGACCCTTTGAAATTTAGATATTTAAAGGGATCAAAACAATCAACATAACTTTTAATTATTAAGTATTTCAAAACTTAGTGTGTAAATTAAATTTGAAAATTTAAATTTCAAAATTCAAGTTCCGAACTTTGTAATTAACATTTCAATAAACAAAATTCAAATTTTGAAAGACCATATTAAAGATAGGTCTTGACTACTTTGACCTTGATGACCAAAGAATAATATTTTCACAGGGCGATTCTGTACTTTCCAAGAAACAAAAAAATATAAAATAAGTCAAGTTGTAAAAAGTACGGCCAGGGTACAAAAATATGACCGAAACTGTAACTTATTTAGTTGCAACTTTTCGGTCTCATTTGCTTCGAATAACGGTTTATAGAAAAAATAATCATTCAAAAAGTTATGAAAGACATCATTTACAATGATTATTACAAATTATAACTGTCTTGTAAAACTAAAGAACAGTACAAAGTAATGCAGTATTGATAAAAATTAATACATATATTATGAATGTATTATGAAAGCAAAAAAATGTTTTCAAAAACAAGAAAGTAATCATTCAGGAAGTTCACAGACAAAAGGATTGAAGATTTATATCGAACAATTCCAAAATCCGATAAACTCATCGCTATCAGCAATTAGCATTCTTTTTATTATTTATAATTTCATGTAATAAAAACGTTATCGTATGTTCTGTTTTTATTTGTATTACCCAAATAGTTTTTGCGAATAGACAGCTTGGTCCCACCTAGGTCTCTATTTAGTTAGAAAGAACAATAAATGATAATAAATGTTAACAATATTAATAATTACATTTACTAATATGTAACAACCATTAATTGTTGAATTACCGTAAAAGATTGTATGTAATTGAAATATTTTTTGTTTTTAATTAGGTATTTTGGAAAATTTTCAAAAACAAAACTACCTATAAAAATAAGTTATTCTGCATTTTCAACTGTTTTTTATACCGTCCGCATCTGCTAAGTTGATGGAATGCGGGTCTGATTAGTCGTGCCCCACCTTAGCTTACGCCTAATTTCGACCGTAATGTATTATTGGTTAAAGCGGTACTAATTAAACTTATGTAAAATTAGAGAGTCGGTCGATATATGCGAAGGACCCCCCTTGTCCTGTGCTATCCCGATTCTCACCTAAGCAGATGCAGAAGTGAAAACGTCCTACTTTCGATTGTATCATTAATATTGAGACACCCTATACATATATAGATACATATATTCACTTTGATAATTTGTTAATATATTTATCAAATATTATGTTTTGCTTGCCCGCATGTTTAATCTTCTACTTCAAACACCTGTTCTATTTTACCTATTCATTACTACAAATTTTATATTAATAATGCACCGAGTGTGGCACATACAGTGTGACAATTAAATACTATCGACAATATTAGTTATATGAAAAAATGTTAATCACGATAAACTGAAGTATTTTATGACACATTGGCGGATTTAGTTGAATTTTTTATACATGCGTAATAATATCAAATACATTTTTAAGTCATTGCCTATTTTTTAAATGAAATTATACATTTTTATATGATTCAAACAATTCATGAGATATTTTTAAAATCAAAAGTTAAATATATCCATAGACATAGTAAGTATAGACCAGGCATCCATTGCATAAGCGGTGATGCATACGATGAGAGAGAGAAAAGATATAAGAGGAGTTTCTCTCTCTTTTCAATGCCGAAGAAGTGGGAAGCACTTCTCCTCATCTCCTCGCTTCAGTTCCTCCTTTTCCCTATTGCGCTATGGCACACCAACTGCGCAGCGACTTCAACCGTTGTTGATGTTCCTTTGTTCGACGAGAACATTCCTTCTTTCCTCTCTTCGGCGTCCCTTGTTCTAATACGTAAAAATGGTTAATGCGTGTTGTGTCTGCGGAAAAGAAACAAATCCAAACGAAAATCGTACATTTCACAGGTAAGTAATATTTTAACGAATATACTTGTTTTCACGAGAGAGCATAACTGAGCCACGCAGGTTGAAGATGGTAGGGGAACTCAGCGAGCCTCGAAACTCCGACTCCGCTAATCGCTTCCCACTTCGTTAACCACGAGTTTAATATACGGGGTGAAACAATAGTACGGTTGTATAGGAAAAATACAGAATGATACACGTAAGTAAAATACCGTGCTACCTGTTATATACTCCAAATGATGCGCTTTCGCGTAGATGCACCGCGTGGAGGCGCCTCAGTAACGTTGTGCGCAAGCGTATGGGAATGGGAGTATCGCCAATCAGGGCGAAGATGCGCACGAATGAACGAAAACTGGTCTTTTCGCAGTTATACTCTCTCGTGAAAGCAAGTATATGTAAAAAATTGTATGCATATAAATTATTCAGAACATGTTTTCAAATTAAAATATTTCAAAAATATTTTATTCAAAATACTAACTAAAAATATATTATTTAGCTTCCCTAAAAATGTAGACCGTAAACAAAAATGGTTTGAAGCAATCGGTCATGTTGTTAATTATTCATCTGCTCGTATTTGTAGTGATCATTTTTCTAAAAATGATTTTAATCATGATAGTACAGAAAGGAAGCGTCTATTTTCAACTGCAATACCTATAAGTAAAGAGAATAGGTAAATCATTATCATTATTTAGAATTAATGTGGTTATTTATATATTTAATATTAATCTTATACTTTTTTAAAAACAGTTTAACACACAGGGAAATAAACGAGCAGACAAATGAAGACACAAACTGTTTAGATCAAAACACGAATGTTGCTGCTACTAGAAAGAGGAAAATTAGTAATGTGTACGTATTTGTAAGTAGTGATTACATATATCAATTTAATTTTATTCAATAAATTTTTTAATTATAGGCAAATCGGTACCTGTAATGAAAATGTGCAACATAAAAAAATTTATTTGAATCTTCCAAGTAATGCAGTTGCAACATTTACAAGAAGCAACTTTACATCTGATGAGGCATGGAATACATTTGTCAGGTCAACAATATATAGTAGGCAGAAAAGGAGATTTATTATGCAAACATGCAAACGTTTGAGGAAAAGAGTTTGCAATTTAAGAAGCTTATTGAAATTTTTGGGAAATAAGCGGTTATTAGCAAATAATAGTATAGATGCTATAAAAGTAAGTAATAATGCTAAAATATTTTATTCAGTAAAGATAAAAATAAGATGAACTATGATAAAAATAAACTTTTCTTTATAAAAGATTAAATAGGTCCAACTATGGAGTCAGCAAACTTCACTGCACAGTAAATTCTCAAAGAAATGTCAACCACCTTCAAGGTTGGAAAAGGTTTGATGTTTTAATAGTTTTTGCTTTTTCTATGATTTTATACTGATTATGAGGCATGATGCTCTATCTATTCCTGTTTTATATTTAAAAGAACAGTTTTAAACAACAATTTTTGACACTTCCTAAAGCTTATTTTAATTTGGAAATTAAGGTGTTTATTACTTTAACAGAGTTTTTGTTTTTTGTGTGAAATAAGATAGCTTGAATTAATTTCTATTACTTCAACAAAAGTACATGAATTTTAGAAACACCATTAATCCTAAGAGGGTCGGTATTAATTCACTACATTTATTCTTAAAAATTCTATATATATAAAATAAGTAACAAAATTTAACTTAAATTGTAGAATATAGTGCCACCGCATGTAGAGGAAATTATTAGAAAAATGATCACGAAGAAACGAAATGCAAGTTATACACAAGAATTAAAAACATTTGCGGTTACCCTGCACTTCTATTCTTCAGCTGCGTATAAATACGTTAGGTCATCATTTTTAAAATATCTACCTCACGAAACTAGTCTCCGGAGATGGATGAGAAATTTTAATAATGAACCAGGTATTTGTGAGCAGGCGATATAAGAAATTCGTAATCAAATCAACCAAACCAAAAATGGAAATAAAGAATTGATTTTTACTTTAGTGTTTGACGAAATGAGCATCAGAAAAAAAATAGAATTTGTGAATGGAGAAGCTGTTAGGCTTTGTCGATTTAGGCAACGGAGTCACTAGCCAAACTGAAGCTAGTCAAGCTCTTGTTTTCATGCTTGTCAATATAAATGGAAATTTTAAAATTCCTATTATATTATACAATATCTAATTTGTCAATGTTTTCGTTTTATGCCAACTAACATTTTTGAAGATGATTCGCATATGCTAGATCATCTCCGTTATTTCATCATCGCCGTCAAGTTATTAAGTTAATTTTAAAAAGTTTCTAGAAGTACGTTTGTATTATGAAAGTAAACAGTTTCAAAATAATGTTAATAGGGTAAGAATGCGTAATAATAAAATAACTCTGTAACAAAGACAATAAATAATGATTATTATTTCGGAAAATTATGGCTTTTTTTAGGTTCCTATATATTAATAATCAACGACAGCTAAGAAATAATTCTAAAAGAATAAAACTTCATGTTATTTTTAGAAGAAACATTTTATCAGCTTTCAGTATACGTTGTAATGTGTCCGCAATTAAATGCCAATTGTGAGTTTTTAATTGTTATACTACATTAGCGACGTCTGCGCATTTAAATAATATCGCGCAGGCTCTTGCGTAGGCCCTCCCCACTTCTCTGGTATTGAAAAGAGAAAGAAACTCCTCTTATATCTTTTCTCTCTCTCATCGTATGCATCACCGCTTATGCAATGGATGCTCGGTCTATACTTGCTATGTCTATGGATATATCATATCAAAAGTTTTGGTTAGGTTAGATTAGGCTTTCTTAATATTTAGGTTAAAAATTTCTTCTTTTAACCTAAATATTAATAACTCTAACCTAATTTAACCTAATCTGTTGGAATAAAGAATTTATTTTGGAAGTAAAATAACTCACAAGATTCAACATTTAAAATATCTACTGAATTATTGATTTTTCTACTATTATATTTAAAAATTCTTTATATAAAATGTTCCAGAAAAACAATTTACGTAAAAAACATACAGAGTGAGACACCTAAAATAGGTTATCTGAAAATCTCAGCTATTATTGGCGATAGAAAAAAATATATCAGACTAAACTCGTTTAGTGTCGAAGGGCACATAATCTTCATTTAAAAGAACGACATTGACCTTCATATTCATCATTAAGGACCTTGTATATTCACTGCGCGTTCACCTATCAAAAAACTATGTATTAACATCAAATTATGCATCTCTCAACATTAAGCTTTAGTCTGATTCATCTTTTTCTATCATCAATAACAGCAAAGATATTCAAGCGGTCAATTCTAAGTGCTTTAATTTCACAAAGCATTTAAATTGTTAACTGAAATTTTTAATATTCCACTTTAAAAACGCGGACGACTGAAATGTCCTTGATATCTTCACGTATAAAAAAATTTAATTAAGCGGAAGTATCCGTTCTAAAACATTTCAATTCCTAAATAGATTATGTGCCTCACCCTGGAGATGCAGACACACATGGAGATGTGCATGTAGAAAAACTAAATGTAATCCGGTTCGATCTTTTTGTTTACATTCTATTTGTTATGGGTGTGACAGTGCCTAGCCTTTACATGCTCTATGTACTTTCTATAATGACACATCCTCTATGTGGTTCTTGAAATAATCGTATAAAATATAGGTACTATCGTACATGTACTAAAGTAAGTTACTATTTGTAAATTAACAGTATATCTGCTTGCAATTATAAAATAACAATTACGTAGTCGAATAATAATAATAATAATAATTGTTTAAAATGCACACATTTATTTAATAGTAATATCTTTTACACCCTTTTAATTGATATCATATGTTATTAAATTAAAATATTTACTGCCGGGTCTGAAAAGCAGGTCAATCGTTCAGTGCCACAAGGTTTGAATGTTAACGATTTGGCCCGCGATATCACGTGATCATATACATATATGTTTAGCACTATTAATCAAGCACACAATATTGAGTGATCGACAGAGAATAAACTAAAATGAAAACTTGTAAATTGAATTTAAGAAACGGTGTATCAAATATTATTATTATGTTAAAAGGTGTTTATTTTAAATTACTAACTGTATGCGATAAAAAAGGCAAAACGAAAATACGATCAAAAATGAACAACAAAAGATATGCTGTCTCTAAGAAAAATGAAAAATTAATAATTGAAAATTATTAAAAATAATGAATTTTTGATAATAGCAACGAATTAACTCATCTGAACGGGTTAATTCTTTACCTTATCAAACAAAATATTCTTCCTTATGTTATACTGTTATATTTCAGCGAACAATTTATTTAATCTCCTATAATGTTGTGAATCAAAATGAATGTAGGCGATAAACGTCCATGCTATTATGGGCCATAACTGATTCATAACTGTTCTATCAATTAATTGGGCAACCTTTAAACGATAATTTCAATTAAGCTATTTTACAGATACACATATATGTATGTATATTCAAATAAATATACGTATAGTTATTTAATTATCAAATATTTTTACTCTGATTTGAAAATTGATTCATTCGGATTTCCTTGGATCATCATAAAGTAAGTTTTAAAATTCGCGTCGAATGAAATCAGAGTTAATAAGTATTTTTTATTTGAATAAGAAATGCATTAAATAAAAATTATTTTGTTTAAAGAGTTAAATAATTTGTATTCTGAATTGATAATTTTTTATTCCAAATAAGGTTGTAATTAACAAAATAAAATAATGTTCTTTTAACACTAAACCCATCGACGTTTGATGTACACTAATTTTTAAGTTGAAAATAATACAAAAAATTAAATAAATACGGGATAAAACATAATTTAATATTATACATAATCCATTTTTTAATCTCGACAATAGCCAACATATACATATATTCCAGCAAAAATATCTTGAAAAAAATCTGAACTGATAACTTTGAAAGTTGCACGAATTTCAGATAATTCAGTGTAAATCTATCATTGAAGCTAATGAAAATAACCTTCTTTGAGGTTTCGACGACGATAAAGATGTATTATGCTTCAAAAACACCTAATATAATTATTGATATTCAAATAAAACGCGTCCAAGTCTGAATTTAAGAATCGTAAATAGTTATAAAATTCAAGTTAAATAAAAAATAATTTAATATTCGAATAACATTGAAAATTATTTGTACTTCAAATACAATAAAACAATATTTGATTTCTGTGATTTTTAAAAAATTAAAAATATATTTTTCAAAGGGTATGTTTTATAACAAGTGAATAAAAAAATAATTTTTATTGTTGGTTAAATAATAGACAAATAGACAATAATTCAATAACGCCCAAGATTGCTTGAAACTATACATGATTGCAGCAGTAAGGAATTTGAGAATGCATGCGCAAAAGAAACTGTCATTTGTTTCAAACTCATCGCATATAGTTTGTGCCGCATTGCACAGTTTAAGCTAGAAACGTCAGCACTTTAAATAGAAATGTTTTAAGAGAAGTAGGAAAGACAGTGGATATTGAAGTTTACGTAGAATTTGTTACTGTTGAAACATTATATTAAAATTAAAGATTGTTGCGTATATTTGTAACAAAACGTGAAAAATGTCATCTGAACCTATTTTAAATCCCGTAAGTAATAACTCTTTTATTTAAAACTTTTCTTAATTGATTAAAACTCTTAACTTCTCTAATTAAATTTAACCCAAAATAAGTCAAATTTCTGCAATACGATTTTAATTACTACAAAATCCAATTTATTAATATAATAATTTGAATTTTTTGAATTAATATTTATATTATGAATTTCTTTTAAATGTAGATAATTTAAAATTACAAAAACATTTACTTGTTTGTAGACATTTATGCCTAGTAAGAAAAATAATATTCAATATCTGTATTTTTACTTTTATTAGTTATAATCTAATTATATTTTAACTAGTGTTTTTTTAATAATTACAAGGACAGTAATATTATGTTGTTAAATTTCTGTGTTTTAATAGCCAATTCCTTATGTGGGAGCTGTAGAAAATGGCCTGATACCTGGTAAAATGGTAAAAATTCAAGGAAAAGTTCCTTCGGATGCTATAAGGTTTGCTGTTAACTATCAGTTAGGGCCTACATTAAATCCGAGAGATGATATAGCTATTCATGTTTCACCACGATTCCAAGATGGATTTATTACTAGAAATCATATAATGTCAATGAGTTGGGGTCCGGAAGAAAATGAAGGACCCCTGTGTATTCAACCTGGACAAGAATTTGAGATATTTATTTTATGCGATCATGGATGTTATAAAATAGCTATAAATGGCAGACATTTTGCAGAATTTGTTCATCGATTACCATATCAAAAAGTTACGCATTTGGTTATTGACGGTGATGTAGAAGTGAATTCTATCACATATGAGAATGTTTCTACTGGTCCTCCACCTTCTACACCTACACCAGATGTACCTAATGTTAATGTTGGACCACCACGTAATTAAATTCTTCATATTTCTTTTTTAATAAATACATAGAATTATATTTTATAATTCCGCATCGCAAATATTATTAGTTAGTAGTTTCATAACAAATATGTAATTTCAGCACCAGGTGGTTTATATCCAACAATAGGTTCACAAGCACAACCTCAAGTTGGCTATGGACCTAACGCATATTTTCCACCTAATCCATATGCAGGGCCTAATTATAATCTTCCTCACGCATATGGATATCAGCCTGGATATGAAAAACCTGAAGAAGAAGATGCATTTAAGGGATGTTTGGATAAAGTTGGTTTAGCAATAGGGGGACTAGTTGCTGCAGGAGGCATAGCTGCTGCTGCACATGCTATGAATGTATATAATTTCAATATTTAAGCATTTTAAAAAATCTAGTAATATTATAGTATATGTAACATCTACTATCATTTTTAGAAAAAAAAAGATGAAGGTGAAAAAAATCAAGAAAAATCAGATGCTTCTAATTTAAAAACAGAAAGCGAAGGAGGTGGTTTAGGAAATCTTGGCTCTCTTGGAGCTGCTTTAGCCAGTAGTTTAGTGAATTTTAATACTTCACAGAGCAATTTGTCTGCACAACAAGGATATCCTCCACAACAGTCAAATAGTGGTGTATTAGGCTCTCTCCTTGGAGCTCTAGGTATTATATATATTTATATTTTTAATACTATTTATGTACATATTATAAATTGAATTTGTGTGCATTAAACAAGGTGGTAGCGGAAATAATGTACCAGCACAGCCACCGAGTCAACCAACCGATCCACTGAAGGGAGCAATAGGATCCTTCCTTGGTGGTGTTCTAGGAGGTGGTGGAAATCAGCAACCAAATTATCAGTCTTCAGGAGGTTATGGAGGAAATTATCAACCTTCTGGTGGTTATTCTAACCCGCAAACGAATTCAAATTCAGATTTTTTATCTGGAATAGGTTCAACAATTGGATCGTCATTGCTTAGTTCTGCTTTTGACAGTTTTGGTAAACATGGCAAAGAGGTAAATACAAAATTCCAAATTTGTAAATATACAATTTGTAAGTACATATTTGTAAATATTTTTATTTACACAGAAAAGTCATGGTGATAGTCATTCAGTTTCTCCGCAGCCCCATGTACTAGATCCCTCACCATCGGTACAGACTCCTACACATTCTGACAGCTCTTCTACTTCAGGACAAAAGTTATCTGCTGATGAAATTTCAAAAGGTCTGGGTTTGGATAACTAACGTAAATTAGAATAAAAATATGTGTAAAAGTATACACAATAATATTATGCTCTCTGATGATATATACTGTAAATTTAACTATACTAATACAAATATTACATTGCACATATTTGACTCTGTTAAAGACATACATAGAAGGCAACTGATTGTGCTTTTAGCATGAAATATTTCAATGAACAGCGTCAGAAATTTGACACAAATAATTCAGATTGCATACTAAATAATTTATACATCAATATGTTCAGTTTGTGTATGCAGGTTATTATTTTTCTAACTTTTGAAAGTACGAAAGCATGTTTCATATGAATGCTGCTCGATTCAATATTATTTATGGTAATTATGATCATTAGGGTATTACAGTTTATACCAATAACATGGCACTAATAATATTACACATGATGTAATAAAACGGCACTAAAAAAATGTAATTTCGTTAAAAAAAATTATCTCTGTAAATTATACTTGAAAAGCAAATTAAATAAATTTGTTTCCACCAACAAATCAAACAACTTTCATATGAAACATTTTTTATTTTCAATATATTCAAATCGGAAATATTGTAGATATATATGTTACCGGCAAAGTATAAACTTCAGGCAATATATATGTATGTACACTGTCCAGAGATTTCCAGCAATATACATATAAATTAAAATCATTATTTCAATTTCCTAGGTAATATACGGAGTAAACTGTGCTTTACCGGACCTTTTTTTTTTAATCTATAATTTTTGATGTGTAGAATCCAAAAATGTAAGTCTTAACTTTAGGAATCCAATGGTTAAAAAGTTATGAGCGTGTAAAGTTTGACACCGTTCATTGGTCAAGAAGCCAATATGGTGTTACAGTAACGTAGCAAATGCGCTAAAAATATTAAACTTTACACGCTTATAACTTTTTAACCTAAAGTGGATTCCTAAAGTTAAGACTTACATTTTTAGATTCTACACATCAAAAACTATAGATTAAAAAAAAAAGGTCCAAAATTTTAGGTCCGGTAAAGTTCAGCCAATATACGCATTACCTAAGTAAATTATTTTACAATTAGACAAAGTACTGTTGAGAGATAGAAAGTACATTAGAGACACGGCCCAGGAGCAAAGGGAGCACTTCGCACACTCCGCCCTATCTCCACGTTTGATTCTCGCGTTCAAAGTTCGCCGCAATGCTGACTTCGTACCATCTCGCTTTGTCGCGAAGTCTCATTTATTTTTCTTCTTTGTTCGGTGTCGCGATTAGTGTGTGATCACATCGGCCAATAGCGCGCGATACTCTAGAATGCATGTGCGTGAGGCGTGACGTACCGACTACGACTAATCGTACTCGTATTCCTTTCTGTATACTAGAATGTAGATTCTATCTCTCAACAGTATACATTGTTGTACTACAGTAAAAGCGGGTTATATGCAACGAAAGATTGGCTGGATATATGCAACATCGCTATCCCCTCCACTTGGCGAGATCCCCCTAAGTGAACCGAGACGCTCGACGAGGAAGCCGTATAATACGATCCGAACCGCTATATCGGTGTGACTAATCCTAATTCAACGATAAAACTTTTTTATTTTTAACTTTTTCTTAATGAAACTTTTACTAACGCATTTGTGTGATTTTTCTGATTTAAATGATACCAAACACGATATAGTTTGAATTATATTTATTCTGAATATGCTGCTGAACTAATGACTGCAAATTAGGTGCTTTATGATGTTAGGAACAGCCCGTGATTTCCATGAAATCGGACAGTTTCTTCCTATTGAAAATTAAAGTAATTTACAAGCTAACAGTAATAACAGAATGATAATAGAATAAATAACATAGAATTGACACCTCGGCTACATATGTATAAGGCAGACCGTACACCAAAGATGCATCAAACACGCAACATGCAACATTAAATGCCCAGAATCGACACCTCGGCTGGATATATGCAACGTTGAAATGCCCAAAATCGACACCTCGGCTGGATATGTATATGCAACGTTTGAAAGCAGAACCGACACCGCGGCTGGTTTTCATTTCCAACCCTCCTTTGCTTTTCGCCAACTTTTAACATCAATTTTAGCAAGTAATTATAATTGAAACTATATCGTGTTTGGTACCACTTTAATCATAAAAATCTCACCAATGCGCTAGTAAAAGTTTCATTAAAAAAAAGTCGAAAATAAAAAAGTTTTTTGATTCAATTAGTATTAGTCACACCGATACGTTTCAGCTCTTTCATTTGATCATCGGACCTCTTTCTTTCCACCACTGTCTATCCCGTAACCCGAGATTCGACACCTTGGCTAGATATATGCAACATCTGGGTCCCAATGTTTGTTGCACATATCCAGCTTTTACTGTATACACTTTGCCGGTAACACATAATATGTACTTACATTGATTGTCTCATCGAATCTGTCGCGGCGTGCAACTCTAACACATGCTCACGCCGCGACAATACATACATCATATTGCCTTGGTAGTTGACCATACTTACAATTACAATTGGTTCCATAAAGTGATCTTCCGTATTTAAAATAAAATATCACTCAATGTCGTTCCCTGAGAGTTATGTTTTGCTCACACTAGTAGAACAGCTGGTAAGTGAGCATCTGAAAGAAATGTAGGTTTGATGGGTTGTAGTCGAATAAGCCCACCTCTTTCGACCGTGTTGAAAGTTGTCTTTCAAAGTTATCGGATTTATTTAATTAGCCTAGTGTAAAACTAGAGGGCCGAACCTCCCCCCTGTGCCATTCTGCAGTCCAATTTATTAGCAACGTACAGTAAATCAGAAACGGTCAAAGGCCTCTGGGGTTCGAGCTTTATTTCTTAGAGCTATGTCGTACAAGATACTTAAAATGATAAAACGCTAACTCAAATGGTAAATAAATATAAAATGGGTTGAGTAGAGAGAATGTTTCGAGAAAGAAAAAAGTGTGAAGGTTACGCTGTTTTCTCCACTCGTGTTATTATTTCTGCCTTTACTTGGCCCTGAGCTAAGATTGGAACTTGCTGTGACTTCTTAAGATAAGCCTGTCCAAATGGTGCTCTGAAATTTCGAGGCGCCACAACATGCCAGGAGATAAGCCTCGGGGCAACGATGACAGTACCCTATCCGCTTTATCTATTTTGAATTTTTCTTCTTCCAATACTTTCCTTATTTAATTGAACACGAGAGCTTCCTGTGAAGGCATAAGACTTGTATTCTGTCTATATTAACGCCTGCTTAGAGCCCACGCAATCCGTATGCCGCCATACGCAGTATGAACAAGACTTTTCTAAGTTCGAGTTACTGGAACTCTTGCTTCAAGTATCTTGTAGTACGATAGGGGGCAAATCTTTGGACAGCACTGTTCTAAGATGTAGGAGGCAGCCAAATTAGTCGCCAGGTCAGTAGACATTGTTAGTATCTGAGAGCAAAGAAAAGTAAAGGAATATCCAGAGAGACTATTCTTCGAATCTCCAGGTACTGGCAAGGTCTACTGGCCCCTCTACTAGCCCAGCTACTAGTCTAATGTAAACTCTGCCTAAGACTTTGAAGCACGAATTGAATGCTTCTGTACCAGATTTTCTAAAACTTACTATCTCACTTGGTAATTGATTAGTTTCGATACCAAACCACGGTCAAGTAACAAGGCAATTTTATATATATATCTATATACATATTTATATAAATATCTAATGTTGCTTTTATTAAATGACATATATTGACTACATGTTATAGAGAGAATATTTGTAGCTTAATTTTTAGATTCGTAAGTGTTGTACCTGAAAATGTTGACAGCTTTAAATTATAGTGTATGAAGAACGTTGTATAACACGAAAAGTGCAGATTCTTCGTACTAAAACAAATCAAAAAGTCTTTTACTATTTTGTATTATGTAGCTTTTGAGATGTAAGTGCCTTATAATAATTTGCAATTGGCTATCCATTCATAAATTATTTTGCTATTTGATTCATAAGCACACAGTATGGCATATGTAAAAATGCACACGCACAGGCAACGAATATCTATTTTAAATCTGATTTTATTTAGTATAAAGTAGCATTTTTCAACTAGTAATACATAAGATACGCATGATACAGTATAACAGTTTTATTGTCCAAAATTTTATTTGCAATGGTGACGTGTGTAATTGCTTCAATTCTGATTGTGAGTAACCATGCTTGAGGCAAGTTGAATGTTCAATGCTGATCTTTGCTGAAATCAAAATAAACAGATTATCACATGAAGATCTTTTTTTTGTAAAATTATTCTGTTAGAAATAAAACAAAAATACATGTGTATATGTGTGCAACATTCATGTAATTAATTATTTTATTGTGTTAGATCCAGATTATTAGTAATATTAGTATTAGCAATTATACTGTTATCAAATGTTTCATAAAATAAATAGGTTTTGTCTGTTCTCTTTTTCTTTTCGTAATATGTAACAAATATATATGTATACACACAATAGAATACAAAGTTTGTTTCTTAATCCTTGGGAAGCAAGCCACTAAACGCAAACAGCTATGTATGAATAACTTCGAATTAAAGAATTTGAGTAAAATTCTGTCACAGTTACAATAATAGTTTACTGTACAACGTAAAGCGACTCAAATTACTGTTTCCAATCGGTTTTGTACGATAATAAAACTACAGAAGTAAAGAAAGTCGTTGGCGCATCAGTTAATCAAGGATCATGGTGGACAGCGTTTGGACCATAGTTTCGTATTCTTAAAGAGTTTTTTGTGGCGAATCGAAACAGAAAACGAAAAATTAATTTATTGGAATATAGGCGCGAGAAATCTTTTACAGCGGCAATGAAGCGGAGCATCCATGGATTTAAGTTACTCTTCTGTATCTGCTAGGATATGGTGGTACTTACTTCGTTCCGGGTTCCTTTCATTCGATCAGATGATCACAGTGAAGCGTTATAAACAGCAATTAAATTATCTGAATAAGACACTTCGAGAGAATACTTCAATTTGTGCAATGAAACAATGTAACAATATTTTGCTCCTTAATAACATGAGGCTCTATGTTATTTTTGTGACTAAGGAGGTATTTTAGAATGAACCTTTAAAAATATCAATTTTTTCCTCATATTTTCTTTAAAAACGTAGTTTCAAATATATATATATGCAAACCCTTATGTCTAAACTCTTAAAATTAACGAAGTTGTGACTGTTTAAAAGACCTAACGATCTGATATTGTTACCGTAACTAAATTTCCCTAACACAGTTTTTTCAGCTCTGTTTTCTAAAATAGTATTTTTGATATTTTAAACTTTATTTGACCGATCTACTGTTATCGTCCTACTATAGGTATGACCTGGCTACTACCTATACAGATAGGATAAGTTTAAACATCAAACTTCACTGATTACAATAGTTCTAAATTTTAACTTACATGGTCGGCCGTTTGTCGATGGCCATAACATATTTTGCATAGGACCCCACTGTCCCCTAGGCGGCGGGCATGTGTCAGATTCTTACTGGCTTTTTAACCCCACAACGAACGCTACTGGTGCTAAAGGAGGACTCCTTTATTTGATATGGGTTTAGTTAATAAAATATTGTCTATAACATATATATAATAAAGTTTTATTTAATATTTTGCAACGCAAGGAAGGCACGTCTTTCAAATACTAAAGATGCAACTCGACTGACTCTTTGAGAAAGAACGATGGGGTGCCGGATGCTCTTATTTAGTTTCATAAACAAAGTTCAAAAGCTGAGAACGTGATAGAATGTCTGGAAAAAGTATTGGTTGTGCATACCAAGTAAAATTTTGCGCAAAATCTCCGCATGTTCCTACCGATGCGTCTTTCGGCAACTCCCCCCCCCCCCCCCCCCCCCCCCGTCAAAGGTGAATCTATATAAATATTGTAAAACAGCGGTAGCAGTCAATACACGTACGCGTGCCGATGGGCGAGATCGACTCACCGACGCGGCGTGAATGTGTTAGTGAATTTGTAGCCAACTTCACTAACGCATTCACGCCGCGTCGGTGAGTGAATGCGTGACCAACTTCACTGCGATAAGTTCAATGCAACTCAGTGTACCCGTGTTTAGTCACCCCAGACGCCTCTATCTTCCTAAACTCTCCACAGAAATCAGAAGTGGGATTCGCTCGCGTGACCGCGTTCGGTATATGACACTGATTGTAAGTGATTGTGAGATCAAACTTTATGTCGCGACTGTTTAAGTTTATTCGTGATTGTTTCATTTTATCGCGTTGTCCGTGGACAAAGTGTCGCGGATAACTTGTGTTGTGGCAAACGTTGAAGCCGTGTTTTATTGTTGGACCGATTGGTCAAGTTGAATTCATATCGGCTGTTATTAATTGCCACAATGACGGACAGTTACACAGTTCAGGATCTCAAGGACAAGTTGAAAACATTTAATCTCCCGACTTTAGGCACGAAGTGTGAGTTATTGAAAAGGATTTTGGATGCGAAGCCGAATGCATTTTCCAATGTGGAGACGGTGGATTCACCATCGGGTTATGCTGCAGAGGTACAGCAGGTGATATTCCTGACCATGCATCTGTAACAAACGAGGCGGTATCCGATGCAGTACGCCGCGAGTTGGAACTATTGAGAAGAGAGAAGGCTGCCACTGGAAAGAGAGTTGCAGTTGTTAAATCGTGAAAATGATTCTCGATCGAACTCGATAGCAGCCGTTGACATCGGCCGAAATTCAAACTCAACCGTCCCGATTAGGACTATTAGCGACCTCCTTGGCGAGTTCGACGGGAATGGCAACTTCTAAACATAGGAAAAACAAGTCGCCTTGCTTCGTCGAACATACAGTTTGGACGATGATACGACAAAAATTTTAATTTGTTCGACATTGAAGGGAAAAGCGCTGCGATGGTTCCACTACAACCCCGATTATTTGGAAATCCCCATCGAAATGTTTGATCACCGACCAAATAGGTTCGCATTGCGTCGTGAATTTGAGCAACGTAAGTGGCAAAGCAACGAACCGTTCTCTGATTACTTCCACGACAAGGTTATTTTGGCTAACCGCGTCTCTGTTGACAAAGAACAGATAATTGACTGCATTATTGACGGCATCCCCGCAAAGAGCATGCAAAACTTTAGGACGAAAACTGCTTTATTAGTGTCCTTCGAGAAAATTAGCTTTCGCGGAGACCATCGAGAGCGAGTGCACCAATAGGATAATATCCGTAAAAGGGACCGGACGGAGTTAAAAGAGTGGGGTCCTCCGAAACCTCCCGAAAATACGTCAAGGCGATGTTTTAACTATTTCCAACCCGAACACAGACCATCGGACTGCCCTCGACCACAACGGCAGAAAGGAACTTGTTTTGGCTGCGGCAGTACTGGCCACCACATCAAGGATTGTCCAAGGAAGGAAGCGCCTTCGAGGAACACAGCACACTTGATTCAGCCGCCCGCAGTGAAAGAATTGTATCAACTTCCTGTAGCATATGACGTACTTGTCATAGTCCTGACAGAACTTCCTTGGTCATCTGATACATAGATTGTAATGTGATAAAAACAAAAGAAGGAAATAAATAAAATGTAGCTGATCATATATGTTGTTTGCGAAAGAAAATCGTTGCAAGAAAGATATTGACCATATGTCAATATGACAGTGTGCTAGCCTTTATTGAAGAGAATCTCTGACGTTTCTCAACATATCAACGGTTATTAAACCCATTCCGTCAGTTATTTTCTGCTTTAATGCTTCGACGTTCGCAGGTTTTGTTTTATAAACATGATCTTTTAAGAAACCCCATAAAAAAAATCAAGTGGTATCAGATCAGGAGATCTTGGGGGCCACTCTATTGTTCTTCGTCTCCTAATCTATCTATTCGGGAAAGTTTCATCTAATAACTTTCGTACACTTAATCCAAAATGCATTGGTGCTCCATCTTGTTAAAACCACACACGATAGAAATCATTAGGAGATTTCTAATAGTAGGAATAATTTGCTTAATTAATATTGCCCCGTATCTTACAGAATTAAGATTTCCATTGATGAAAAATGGACCTATTAAATGAGTCCCAATCATTCCTGCCCAGACGTTGGCTTTTTCGGGATATTGAGATTTGTTATCTTTCATGCAATGTGGATTTTCGGAGCTCCAGTATCGGAAATTCTGACAATTAACGTTCCCATGAAGTTCAAAAATAGCTTCATCAGAAAATACAATTGTAAGAAACACGAGAGGCGCTTAAATATTCGCGCCTACCTATTAGCAGTCCCATGCGGCAACACTAATTGTAAGTGCGCGGAGCAAGGACAGGTAGGCAGTTCGAGTACAGATGCGAAACCGCATGGTTGTTAGAAATTCTTTTGTCGAGTGTCTTTTTGGGAGTTGGGTGTATGTTACGAGGCGAAATAAAGTAGATTGCATTCGTGCAGACGTTTATGCATACTAGTTCTTTTTCGTGGATTATCTTACACAATGTTATTTATGAAATTATTTTTGCGTATCTCAATAAGTTCACAAAATTCCATTCTCCGGTCAAAATCATCATGAACTCTTGCACATAATGCATTTTATAGGGATGAAAGTGTTTTTTTTTTAATATTTCGCACTGATTTTGGTCGATTTCGTTTTCTGCAGAAACCTTTCTAGTGGACTTATTAGGCGTTTCGATAAAGCTTTGCAAAACATCCACACTCTTTTCATCATTGGAGGCAGTCCACTGCGCGGACGATCTTCCATGTTACTAGTTTCAATGAAACGCTGAATCGTTTTTATAACTGGATTTTGAAACCGAATCCCCCTCGTTAAAAGTTGTATTAAAGAGATCACATGTCTCTTGATATGATCTTTCTTTATCTCCGTACCCTCTCATTATCAACAGATAAATGCGTTCACTTTCCGACAACTTAGCCATTATTTTATTTTTAAGAAAATTCTACAAAAGCTTCAAAGAGGAAAATCCCTAAGCGTAGAGTTCAGCTGCTTATCGCCAGAGATACCGATGCGTATTCCTATCAACAGCGTGTTGTCGGCGCATGCTAACATGAGTTTATGGTGCAAGGGGGTAGACGTGGGTAATAGTAGCGCGTTGACATTACCGGCAAAAATGGGCCTAAAAAGAGGTTTACGGGACTACACTTTTCGTCCTTATATGAGAACATTTGGGGCTGGGTGAGGGCTTATTCGAAAGAGGAAGGTCCAATGCACACCGCTAAACTCATGTTTCAGTGGGATTATGTTGATGTTTAGTAATATAAGCGTGCAAAGTAGACGAAAAAATCGACAAAATGGAGCCGCGGAATCGAAGCATTTTTAGGCCACTAAAAGGGTGTTGTGATTGAAATCATGAGTTTAGCGGTCTAGCCACAACCCTTACCTGCAAATTAAGATTTATTTTGTCTTCATTTGTTGCGAAATAAATACGAAACGTGTATTCCCGTGAAAGCATTCCCACAGACGAGTGCCGCCATTTTGTAGATAATACAGAGCAAGTCACGTGATAAATTTAATTCAGCTAGTAGTTATAAGATGGCGTCTAAGTAAAAAGGCTACCGATTTGGAATCGTAGCCAAAATCATGATTCGCAGCTCGGCTCTTGATGAGTGAGGTTCTCCATTGAATAACACTAAACAGGTTCATAACCTCATATGCAGGAAGGTACAGGGGTGCATTAGCCACTCGTACTTTACTAGGTGAAACAAAGGGAGGTGAGCTTTATTTGTGCGTACATGTTACGCACCTATCAAGCAACCTAGCTGCTCCAGGACCTTCAGGGGCCGGAGACAGCAGTATACACAGCACGAAGACCGACGAGCAGCAAGGATGGATTTATGTGAGACAAGCAAGCAAGAAGGAACCAAAAGTTCCAAGAAGGAGGAGACGCTTATACCTAAAAGGAAACCGGCCGCCATTAGCCCGTAGACAGTGCCATCCAACCGCATGGGGAAATACCCGCAAGGGCATAGAGGTCCCGCCTCGGTGATCCTAACCTTGTCGGCTGATAAATGCAAAAAGAATAAGACCCATAATATGATGTATAACGCCAAAACAGTCAATTCAAGGAGAGTCGGCGCGAACAAGATGCAGCCTAGAGGTTTTAGTAAAGCAGAGGTATTCCTAAATAATGGATTGGACGCAAACTTGCTTTTGGAGTCGACGGTTCTAGCGAAAGCTGGAATAACGGCCTTTGTACCATTTCATAAGGTGGAAAAACAGGGTCTCATCAGAGGGATAAGTCTAGAGACCGACATGGAAGAGATTACTGGTCACTCGGTCTCCCCATGTCAAATTATATATGCTACCAGACTGAACAGGAGACAGGTAAACCCAGAAACTAACGAAATATCGTGGGTGCTATCGGAAACAGTGCCACTCACATTTGAGGGTTCAACTGTACCAGAAAAAATAAAACTATATGGTCTCCTTAGCAAAGACGTCACACCCTTTATAGATAGGGTAAAGACGTGTCATAATTGTGGAAGATATGGTCATACCACAACTAACAAGGGACATTACCCAATCGACACACGCCGATTTTGATGCCCTTTGAGTATGATATAGAACTCAAAAAAATATTTGACACGTATTTTTTTTTATCGGTAATCGTCCATGCTGAAGGGGTTATCGGTAATCATGCGTTAGCTTGGTTACGTCACTCGAACTGTGTCTGTTAGAGCAAGGGAAAAAGGCAACAACGCTCGAATGCTGAGTAAGACGCACTAGAGTCGTGAATGTTGAGATTGTCCCTTTTCACTAACAAGGAGAACTACCCAAGTGTTACACTCACTTATTAATGAAACTTTGCCAGCTTGCAGAGCTCGTCGAGCTGAACACGTCTATACCCCCTTTTGGGGGCAGACGGCTAATTGTTTAAAAAATATTAACAATTACAGTTAGTTACTCCTTACATTCTGAAGTATGACAAACTTACACATACAATTCGCAATCTAGAGATCCACGGTTCAATTTTGAATAACTATTACATAAAAATTATCATTATAAAAAAAAAAAAGAAAACTGGAACCCAGGATTTGAACCGAGGATCTTTAGATTACGAGTCATGTGTTTAACCACGGAGCAGATCCGTGACTTGCAAGTTGAAGGTCCTCGGTTCCCAAAAAAAATTTTTTTTTTATGATAATTTTTATGTAATAGTTATTCAAAAAGAGACAAATTATCATTAACAAAAAAAAAAAAATGTTAGGAATCAAGGATTTGAACCGTGGATCTCTAGATTGCGAGTTGTATGTGTGAGTCTGTCATACTTCTCAATGTAGGTAGTAACTAACTTTAATTATTAATATCTTTTAAACAATTAGTCGTCTGCCCACAAAACGGGGTATAGGCGTGTTCAGCTCGACGAGCTCTACAAGCTGGCAAAGTTTCATTAATAAGTGAGGCCCGCCTGGATTTTACACAGCGCCCCATAACAAACTTCGATCAAAGAGTAGGTATAACAAGAGAAGAATATACCTCCTCTTTGCAATAATTCTGCAAATGTTTACATAAGTTATATATGAGATATTTATTTATTTAAATTATTTGCATTCACTCAGAATATTCACTAGTACTCCTGTGTATTTTTTATTAGTTTCGAAAAACAAAGTTACTATAGGTCTCTAAAAATATAAAATGCGTCACGCAATTGTGACGAGTTATATCTTTGGTAAGAGATAGGAACAAACTATTGATGTAAAAGTTGAATGGTATGACTTATGAAAAATATGAGATATCTCACGAAATATTAATTTTTTAAACATTAAACTGTTAGACATAAGCGCGTTAGCGAAATAGAAGAGAGGGAATAGTAGAGAGGGGAGAGAAGGAGATATAGACGCGAGCGCGGCGGAACGAAGCGATTTTACAATTAGCTATGGTTAATTATGTTAATTATGTTATGGTCGCGAGCGAGTTACGATTCTATATTTTTGTGTTTTTTGGGAGAAATAAAAGATCTTGTGTTAAAGAACTTAGATTTTGATCTCGAAAGTCGAAGCCCCTCCGTTTATTAGTTCTAATAGTACCATAATACTGTTTTATGCAGACTATTCCAAGGAGTTGACACAAGTAAAAAAACAATGCAATTCCATTTAAATAAAAAGTGCATTTTCATGCTTTCCATTGTTTATGTGAGTGCACGCATACAGGTCATGGCACAAGGTGTCTGTCCCCTGAATTATTCACTCAATCATTCGCTACTTTATAAAGCTGAACATTCACATTCGTTATCTATTCTATTCAAGAAAATGGATAGTTTCATTTTTGTAGAATGAAACAATGTTAAGAATGTTATAATTATTTTTACCATTAATCAGGTGAAAAATAAAATTAGTGAATTTAAGAAGCAGTAACAAGTGGTAAATTTAATAAATAATAAAATTGTACATGTAAGTACTAGTTTTAAATTTAACAGATAAATAAATAAATAAATCTTTATGTAATTAAAGTCTGAAATTCCAAAATAGCACAAGTTCACTAGAAAAGTTCCATGACTATGTTTCTTATCCTGACTATACATACGATTAAATACACGTATAGTCAGTGACAACAATATAGCGTAAAAAATAAGGATCTTGCATGTAGGATACTCCAAATGTATGAATAAAATAACAAAATTATTTGACAGGATGACATATGCAAAAATTATTGCAATTTCTGTCCTCATATGCGCCATATCAACACTTCCTGTTCAAAATGACGACCCAGGAGCTAATTGTAATAACGAAACCAAAATTAACTATCGTTTGCCAAACTCTACAGCGCCCATACACTATGACCTGAAAATAATACCAGACATTAATGGTGACTCTGGATTCAAAGGCGAAAGTATCATACATTTCAAGGTTCTAGAACCAACCTCAGATATTGTACTGCATTCGGTACGTTTAAATTTGGATGAAAATGCAACGCGGGTAATCTACTCAGATGGGATTGTGCTTAGGCCAGAAGCTCACACTTATATTAACACGACAGACCAATTGATAATAAGCGCTGGTAGGATTCTTGAGGAGGGAGAATATTGGATAACCATGAGATTCTCAGGACATTACAAAGAGGAGTTGCATGGATTTTTTAAAAGCTACTACGTGAATAAGGAAGGAAATAATGTGTAAGTTGGGAAACGATGAAGATATAGTGGTAATATAGAATAACCATTGTTTTTTTTTTTTTAATTTCCCGCCACTATAGTCACGTTGGCGGCAATATAACGAGAGTCCACTGTGGCTGATTAAAAGACTCGATATTTGAAATATTTAATTTAAAATAATAAATAATAATTTCTAGATGGCTTGTTGCCACAGACTTCGAACCAACGAATGCTCGTTACGCCTTTCCCTGTTGGGATGAGCCTGCCCTGAAGGCAACGTTTAATATCTCCATCAAACATTACGACAATTATACAGCATTATCGAATATGCCGGTACGAGAGATAACCAATGTCGATGAAGCTGATGACAAAAGGTGGACGCACTTTGAGAAGACACCTGTTATGTCCACTTATCTAGTAGCCTACGTGGTTGCTGATTTCGAGAAGATATCGAATGCCGATGGTTCTATTAACATCTGGAGCAGAAAGGATCTTGTTCCTCATTTGAAATATGCTCTTGAAATTGCACAGAAAGCAACTAGGGTGTTAGAACAATATACAAATAGTACAGTCCGAGTGCCAAAGATGGATCATGTTGCTCTTCCTCAACACGGTTCGGAAGCTATGGAGAACTGGGGACTTATTACATATTCGTACGTTGGTTTGTACACTTCAATGTAATGAGAGCTTTCCTTGTGTAAGAGTAGGGGTAAAGGGAGGGGCTTAAAGTCACTTGCCTTGGAAGAACTTAGGACAGGCCTGTCCAAGTAGGAGAAACCACTCCTGGAACACATGTTTTGGGTCCCCTTCCAACGCTGCTCCTTCAAGTAAGATGGGACGGTTCCGACTACCAAAGACGGTAGGAAAGACGGAGAGACAGTAGTCGGAACCGTCCCACCTTACTTGAAGGAGCAGCGTTGGAAGGGGACCAAAAACATGTGTTCCAGGAGTAATTTCCCCTACTTGGAGAGGCCTGACTTAGGACATACAGGGCAGATGATGCGACATTTCTTCATTCACATTTTCTTTTAACTAAGAAAGGCCTAAGTTGCACATGATTTTACACTTCGGTGCAAGGCAGGCTTCTTTTAGCTAAGGATGAGGCTAAAGAGAAGAGCCTCCTACTATTTGCATTTCATTTTGGGAGAATCTAAGGAAAACCTAACGTAGGCTTTAATTCCTACAATTTTTAATATAATAAAACATCTTATAAAAGTTTCGAATATATGTATACAGTGGCCGATAGATAGCAGCTCCAGGATTCCTAGGGATGGTATACCGAGTGGTATACCAACGGATTGTGGGCACTTTATCTACTGGTCACTGTAATATGTTTTCAATTTAAATCCAATTATACCTTTTCCAGAGAAATATATCTTGTTTTTGACGAGAGTAAGGATCCTCTGGAACGAAAGCAGGACATTGCAAAGGCAGTGGCACACGAGTTAGCCCATCAGTGGTTTGGTAATAAGGTCAGTCCAATTTGGTGGTCGCACATTTGGTTGAACGAAGGATTTGCCTCGTACTTCCAACACTACACTTTAAACAAGGTTATTATTATTCGAATTTTTAACAATAGTAAAAGAGGAATTGGATCCTGTAGGTACCTGTTTTCTTCGATTGCCTATTCTCATTCAAACATAATTTCCAGATATACAAGAACTGGAGAGAGATGGATTATTTTGTAATCAATTCTCTTCAAGATACTCTTGTTACAGATCCTGAATGGCATACAAATCCAATCGATGTTGAATTAGAAACGCCCGAGGAAATTATATCTGCCTTTTCAATCGCCATTTATAAAAAAGGTGTCATATTGTACAAACTATAACATTCTATATTGTAGAACATAAATAACATTTTTTTTGAATTTAGCTCCCTCGATTCTGCACATGCTGTCCAATATCATCTCTCCAGAGGTCTTCCAGAAGGGCATCGTAGACTATCTGGACAGACAGTTAGTATAGTTTCTTCCTTATTTATCCTATATGCCATAAAAAATTGAATACATTGTTGTTTAGCGAATACGACTCTGCAGATCCTGACTGCCTATGGAGCGCCCTGCAGAGTGCCCTGGACAAGTCAAACGTTCCCCACAGCGACTTCAATGTAAAGGAGGTTATGGACACCTGGATCAAACAAAAGAGATACCCATTAGTAACTGTCGAACGTAATTATTCAACTGGAGAGGTGAAATTGAGGCAGGAAGATTTTGCATTGGTCGATGTACATATACATGCTAATAGTACAGAATATAAAGATGAAAAGGAAAAGTATCAATGGTGGGTACCCATCACTTATGCAACAGAGTCTAACCCAGATTTTTCAGACATTGGGTCCATCAAATGGTTGAAGCCTCAGGAGGTTCTAACTATTGATGGAATTGACCCAGACGACTGGATTATAGTAAATAAACAACAAAGTGGTAATTATGATTATTTGGAAATGTATAGTTTCAAAGAACGACCCTGTTTTGCTGGGGTTCTATGAAATCCCTTGGCTTGGATTACTGTAATGGAATGATATTTCTTTCATTAGGCTACTACCGTGTGAATTATGATGAAGCTAACTGGAGGAAGATCGCCGAGTACCTTCGTTCCGAGAACTATACAAACATCCACACGTTGAGTCGTGCCCAATTCGTGAGCGACATCACACGATTGGTATTTTACGAACGTGTGAAACCATCGGTGTTCTTGGACCTGATTGTTTATTTGAAACAAGAGCAAGACTATACACAATGGATTCATGTATTCGACCTACTGGAGAATATTAAGCAGGTCTTGGATATCCTATCGGCTCAGCCAATTAGGGTAAGGTCCTTTATATGGATGATTAATGAAGCTGTCCATGATGGAAAAGTACCATTTTCTTAATTTCCAGGATTTTATATTAAGCATAATGGAGAATTTAATAAAGACCGTGGGTTATGATGACAACGACAATGAAGATCCTCTTACGCAATTCAAAAGACATAAGGCGCTGTATTGGGCCTGCTATCTTGGGCACACCGAGTGCAAAGAAATGGCGACTATTAGGCTAGCACAGTACATGAATAATCCAGATATTTACAAGTATTTACAGTTTGTTATTTTTATTAAAATTAAGTATGCTTAAGGTAGAGGTTCTGAATGCGCTATATTTCTCTGGCGACTATACCTCGTTTGATCCCAAGCTTCGTTAGACTAATAATATTATTCTGAATACTAATTATTGTAATCATTTAAATAATTGGATTGTTAAAACGTAGAAAGTCACCAGAACTTAAAGAATGGGCGATTAATAATGGCCTACAACTGGCGAACGAATCGGTTTGGTACCAGATGTGGGAATTGTGTTTGGAAGAAAGACCAACTTTTATGATATATGGTTTGGGTGTAACGGAGAATCCAACACTCTTTCAAGCATATCTAAATATAACAATATCAAATGATATAGGTCTGACATCGTGGCAAAGAGGATTGCTAGTTGAATTCGCAATGGAACACCGCCTTTTTTCAAATGTAGCTATGGATTTCTGTATAGAACATTGGAATCAACTCGGTGGAAGGTAATGTAATGATACTATTACAATAAAATAGATTATATTACTAATGTAAATATCTGTCATTGTTTGGCAGTTCGGGATATGATTACCATCGGATTTATGAGATGCAGATTATCATTATGGATGAAGAACGAATCGAGAAGGTAAAATTACTTCATTCATTTGTCTAACAAGTATTTAATTTTTCATCAACAAAACTTATTTGTTGTTTTAGATAAGAAAGATATGCGAAAATATCTCCGATTGCAATTGGGAGAAATTTTGGGCAAAATACGAGAAATATATAAAACAAACCAAAAGTGAAATTGAAAAATGGATTGCTGCAATAAATGATATGTAGATAGTTTTAATAACAATTGTAATTATTTCAAATTGTACCTTTTTTAATGAAAATGATTATAAAATTAGGGCATAAAATAGACAATACCAGTTAACAAAAGTTTTAGAAATCTTAAATTAACAAATCAAATATTTAGTTGATTATGCTAAAAAGGATATACATATAGGATACAAAATTTACATATTCAGCTTGTAAACAATATTGTTACTATTGTAAACTTTTGTTAAACAATATTGTTACTATTATGTAACATATCGATGTATCTTTATCTAAAGCACTGTTATTGTACCTTAAATGAATTTGCAATTTTTTCTACAAAAACTTGTTTACTTCATTAAATTGATTGAATCACAGATTTTTAAAATTCTTCGATGTATCAATATACATAGCTGTATAATATAGGACATTGGTTAATGGTATAAATTATACGTGTTATGTTCATGCACATTAACATACATTTGCTGCATAACAGCACAATTCAATTTACTTATTGAACTTCTTCAATTATTCACGTACTTACAATAAAAAAAAATATATAAAAAATATTTAACTTTCCTGTTATAAACATAATTCTAACGATTTAGTTATAATAAATCCGGAAAATTAACAAATTGGAATTGTTTTTAGCTGAAAATAACGTTGGATAATTAAAAGTTGCCTAATCAGAGTAAGTCATTGTAATGCCAGAAATTAACTTATTATCAACGTATATGGAATTAAACCATATCAATGTGATCCTCTTTGCTAATCTACTTGATAAGATTCATTAGAATAACTTCTATTTAATTCACTCTGCGCAGAATAATCGAGAAAATAAAAAATTTTCCGTACCAATGTTTCAGCTACTACGCCTCGGAATTACGTAGAGGTCGTCTTCACCACACTTTTTACTCCAATTTTTGGGTATAAAAAAGATGACGACGAAGGCATCTCGGGTCTAGTTAAAATCTAGAAAGGATTCAGTACACGTCAGTACGTTTCTCTTACGGATAATCTCTGCGATGAGGAAACTCTGCGAGATCGGGTATTCAAGTCCCCTTCAAGCTACTAGTAACCATACAGTACGTTGTTTGTTGTTAGGCATTATTATTATCGTTGCAGTCCTTGCTTTGTGGAATCGAAACTAAACTCTTAATTCAATTCACTTTAAAATTGTAAATTGGAATGAAACTCGTTAAATACCGCGACAGTTACACTCAACAGTTGTAAAGTCCCGTTACAAGGAAAATAAATTTAGATCATTTGTAGCTTACATATTGTTATTCAATTATATTAACCAGTCCAGACAACCCACTAAGGTGTACTTTTACCGCTCGTAGTGCACTAATCAAGTTACGAAGCCTAGTACTAACATTTCCTGCGCTTTCCTACATCAGCCATGCGTCTGCTTCCACCATTTTGATTTTCATGGTACAGTCCATTTTTTGTAATCTGACTGTGCAGATGGCCCACAGATTCTCACTAGGATTGAAGTCTGGTGAATTTCCAGGCTAGTCCAAAATAGTAATCTTCTTGTCCTTGAAGTATTTCACCATAGTCTTGGAAACATGGCGGGGAACTGAGACTTCCTGCGGTCTTATGGCTTTTCTCCCACCTTTCAAGAGTCTTCTACACACCGTAGAGTTGTGAATTGTCACCCAAGCCTTTTCTAAATTTTGCTGACGGTCGTGGCTGGTTTTTCTGGGATGCAGTTTGCTGTCTCGCAAAAGAAAATCTTCATTTCGAGGAGTAGTTTTCCGTTTTCTTCCACATTTTGTTTTATTATTTTATTTACAGCGCCCAAAACTCACACAACATTCCTTTGCAATGTCTCTCTGTGTCATTGGTGAATGCTCACTAACGATTATACATATAGTGCTAGGAGATGTGATGGTCCCCGTCGCGTTGTACAGTAAAAGCTGGATAAGTGCAACAAAAGATTGGCTGGATAAGTGCAACATTGCTCTCCCCTTCACTTGCAGGGATCCCCCTAGGCGAACCGAGACGCTCGACGAACCGTGATATCTATGTGACTAATACTAATTCAACGATAAAACTTTTTTATTTTTAACTTTTTCTTAATGAAACCTTTACTAACACATTTGTGAGATTTTTCTGATTAAAATGACACCAAACACGATATAGTTTGAATTATATTTATTTATTAAAATAATAATAAAAGGATAATAAAAAATAGGTTGTTGTTCCAAGGCTGCGCCGATATCCATGTTTAACACATCCGTTTTAAGGTGCAATGGCGCCGTTGGAGAAAGAAAGACGGTTTTAGCGGCCTTGAAAATGCCGGCCTTGCACCGTTGGAAGGCGATGTCCGCCTCGGAATTCCAAGTAAGATGTTTTCCTTTCTTCAGGTTGCCCTTGAGGAGGTCATGGAGAGGGGCCTGAAGAGCTACGGCGTGAGGTATGTATCGTCGATAATAATTCAGCATCCCCAGGAAGCAGCGAAGGTCCGCTGGTTATTCCGGCCTGGGGAAGTCCTCGATGGCCTGTACCTTGCGAAGAGGAGGTTGGAAACCATCGCCGGAGACCAGATAGCCAAGGTAGTTGATCTGAGGTTTGCCGAAAACACATTTGTCCAGGTTGATTCGGAGCCTGGCCGATCGGAGTGTTTCAAATAACAGCTTAAGGTGTTGTAGATGTTCCTCGTGTGATCTAGAAATTACAATCAGTTCATCCACGTAGCATTTCACGAATGGAAGTGCTCGTAGGAGGTTGCCCACAGTCCGCCGCAGTGTCTGGGCGGAGTTTCTAAGGTCGAACGACATGCCCAGAAATTCGAAGAGGCCGAAAGGCGTAGTAACGGCCGTCTTCGGTATATCCTCCTCTGCCATAGGAATCCGATAAAAAGCCCATTGGAGTGCTGTAGACCTGTCCCTGGCTTTCTTGGAGTAGATCCTCTACGACCGGCAGAGGGTACCGATCTGGCGTCGTGCAAGCGTTAAGGCGACGGTAGTCACCGGTTGCATGCCAGCTACCGTTACTCTTCGGGACCAGATGGAGAGGGCTGGCCCATTGGCTCGAAGATGGTTGTATGATACCTGTGTCAAGGAAGGCGACGAATTCCTCCCTCGCTGCGACTAGGCGTTCTCCAGCCAATCGTCGAGGACGCTCAAAGACCGGAGGCCCGGTGGTGACGATCGTATGGTAAACGGGGAGGTCCGGTAGAGTTGCCTCCGTGCTGCAAGGTGAGGCTAAGTCGGCGAATTCGTTCAGAAGACGGACGTAGAAATAGAGTGGACCTGCGGTGCCGCAAGGGTTCCCGGTGCTGAAAGGGTTGTCAGCGGATCCAGGATGCGACGAGCCCTGAGGTCGACAAGGAGGCCGTGATAGGCCAGGAAGTCAGCCCCGATAATCGCCGTCTGTACATCGGCGACGATGAAACTCCAGACGAAATTTCGCCGGAGTGCCAGGTCCAGGACCATAGTATGGCGTTCATACGTTGCGATAGGTGAGACATTTGCCGCGTGCAGCACAAGAGTTTGACGCTGTAATTCTTTTAGGATCGCCGACCTTGGCAGCAGAGGAACCACCGAATCGGAATCCACAAGGAAGCGAATGGAGGTACGCCGGTCCGTAACGAGTAGGCGGTTTTCTACAGGGGGGGAGCCGGCGTCCGCCGCCTGGATTGACGTCGGCTCTAAGCGTTTCCCGGAGAACGAGACTGGACGGCTGCCGTTGCAAGGAAGGTGCACGGTTGAGTACACCGAAGCGCCCGAACCCCGTGGCGACGGTGGTACCAACACACACCTGGAATGATGGCCGGCGGAGGGCCCGGCGAATTTGACCTGCTTCGCTGGCGATTCGGCGATCTGCTGGGCTGCCGGCTGAAACGCGGTTGCGCCGCAGCAGGATTAGGCCCGATACACACTAGCGGTTCGGTCCCGGTCCGGTCTCGGTCTGGTAAAATCTTACTGCACGACTAGATCCACACTATGGCGGTTCGGTCCCGGTCCGGTCTCGGTCCGGTAAAATCTTACCGTACGATTAGATCCACACTATTCGGTTCGGTCCCGGTCCGGTCTCCGTTCGGTAAAATCTTACCGTACCCATACTGCTATGCCACTTTCGAGCCGCTCTCGATCTGATAGTCAATTATAAAAAGTCTTTTTCGATTGTACTTTTGGCATTAGTAGATGCAAATTATAAATTTACTGCTGTAGATATAGGTTCATATGGAAAAAAAATATATATATATATATACTGATCGAATTGAGTAACCTCCTCCTTTTTCAAAGTCAGTTAAAAAATAATGATATTAAACAATTTCCATTAAAGAAATATTTAATGCGGCCTTATCTAGGATCAAAAAGTATAGAAGATATTAAAAAAAAAATATTTAATTATCGATTATGTAAAAGAAGAAGATTAGTCGAGTATGCATTTGGGATTTTATCACAAACCTTCAAAGTTTATTGTAGAAAACTCATAGCTAATCCTGAAAATGCCACTACAAGATGGAAATGTACAAGCTGAAGCGTTTCAAACGAGGGAGCGCAGTCCCGTCCCAGGAAAATATTCTTCGTGAGAAATCGAGACCGGACCGGGACTGGAGCGTGATCGAACCGGAGCTGGAGCGGACGCATAGTGTGTATGCTCTCATAAGATTTACATTGGAGTATATTTTACCGGACCGGGACCGGACCGGGAGCGAACCGAACAAGTGGCTCAAGTGGCTACTGTTCGAGAGCGATTGGGACCGGGCTGGGATCGAAGCGAGATCGTCGTGAGATTGGAGCGTGACCGGACCGGAGCTGGCAAGTGTGTATGCTCTCATAAGATTTACATTGGAGTATATTTTACCGGACCGAGAACGGACCGGGACCGAACTGCTAGTGTGTATTGGGCCTTAGGGTGCGCCAAACCCTCTCTTGTGAGCGCGATCAACTGCGCAACCGACTGGCGCAGAGCCGAAAGCTCAACGGCGATCGGGTCCGATGGTGGCGCTGGCAAGCAATGGCCGGACGAAGATGGCGTCGGCGGACGTGACGCCGGAAATGACACGGCCCTTACTGTTGGACAATTCTCTACGAGTTCGTCCGCATCAACTGCAAGCTCCTCGAGATTTGACGCCTTAAAAATTTTAAGGAAACACCGTGCGCTGCTAGGGAGGAGATCCAGCCATTCCTAGGGAGGAGACCCGCAAAACCTCGTCCGACACCCTATTGCCGGCAAGGGAACGCATTTGGCGAAGGAGCTGCGACGGTTTCCGATCCCCCAATTCTAGTTGGGTAAGCAGCTTATGAAGCTGACGATCGGTCGACCGATCAAGTATGGCCGCTTTGAGCGCGTCGTATTTTCCGGACACAGGAGGCGCCCTCAACACATCAGCGACTTCCTGTATCGTGTCGGCGTCCAGCATCGAAATTACCAAATTATAACGGTTGTCGTCTCCACGAACCCGTTGCACCTGAAAAGTCGCCTCTGCCTGGAAAAACCAGAGGTCCGGATTTGCGTACCAGAATGGTGGTAGTCGGCATCCACCGACAGTCGTGGTCAAGGAGGTCCGCTGGGCGTCCTGAGCGGCTTCAAATGGCGTCTCAGCGACGCTGGGAGCCCCAACACCCTGTTCCCGAGGAACCTCCGTCTCGAGGACGGGAGGCGGTGAACGGATCATCACTGTTATACTCTCTCACGACAAAGTATTCAAGCGTTCGTAATTCGACGCACACACTACGCAACTCACAAATAAAACAACACAAAAGAAATAAAAAAGGATTTTTAAGCGTTCTTAGTCACTGAAGATGTTGCCTAAACGCTGGCGTGGATTTCCTCAGCTCCTGGAAAACGTGGCCGATGAAGAGTTTATCACGTCAGGGTCACAAGTATTTAGGGACCGCATGAATACGATTGCGCGGGCACTACGACCACGTCACGGATTTGGTAATATGTAGGATTGCAATGATTAATCACGATTTGCAGAGATTGAGACTTTTATTAGAACAAAGCTTTGTAGAGAATAAAATGGCGATAAAGTTGAAAGACGCGTGCCTTTAACCTTCCGGACGCGTAGAACAGAACAGAATCGGGGTGTATCGAGGCGCGGGCGTCAGGCCCAGAGCACCCTAGAAAAGAGGGCGCGGTTGTAGAGCTTGCTTCCTCTTGGTACCGACAGATGGCCCAAGAATCGAGGGCGTGTGGGGACTTCAATTCGTCGATAAGGAAGAGAGGAGCGATAATTAAACTATTCCCACTGATTGCACAAGAACTTGACTCTTTATTGCACAATATTTAAACGAGTGTATCACGTCTCACTTCTTTGGCGTTTCTTTGGGAATGGGAAATCACCCTCGCCATTTAACGCGTCTTCTACCAACTAGGCTTACCAACTAAAAATCTATGTATGTACAGTAATGCTTCGAAATAAGCAAGTGGCTCGGGACCGAACAGTTGCTTATTTCGAAGCAGGTAGCTATTCGGCTTGACTTTGTTCTTGAAACGGGACGATAGAAAACGCGAGAAACGAGTGAGAGATCCGAGGTAGCGGCAAATCATAAAGTGATCGGCCGAGCAGCGATGTTATTTTTTGGACAAGGATAGAATATAACATGCCCTCTCATTCTCGCACTATGCTTTATTTCGAAGCAAATATACCAGACTGAGAAAGCATTATATATATTCCATCCTTCTTCTACTAATCGATGTCACTACTCAGTCGAGCGTGAAATTTATTACCCTAAACATCGGCTTCGCGCTTTCATGGACCTCTCACTCGTTTCTCGTACCTCTCACTTTGCGGGCGACTTCAAACAAAGAAGAGGGGATAGCGACTTGCTTATTTCGAAGCAGAGACCACTTGCTTATTTCGAAGCATTACTGTACATATGTACAACATCAATCATAGTGTCCGTTCGTCTAGTGAAAAAGCACTGACTTTGGAGTCCAAGTTTAACCGTAGCAAATATCGTAAATCTAATTATTTAATAAAAGCGTTAAATTAATTAACATAATCATCTGATAAAAGCTTTAAAATATTCAATAATTTAGAATTTCAATCATTTATTTGAAATTACAAAATACACTAGATGAACGGACACTATGATTGATATTGTACATACAACTTAATCTAGCAACTAAAACTAACTAGCCTAACTTAACCTAGTTACTCCCAAAAAGCGCTTCGAGAGCGCGCATAGGTGAACGCTACAGGCGCCACACGTATACATGCAGGCAAAACAGGACCCCTACTGATATTTCCCACTGAAGTGAATTTTTCCCGTGAAAAATCTCCAAATTTGTTAGCGTAATATCTCGAAAACATATGAAAATCAAGTGTATACATGCAAGCTTAATGAATTTGACTTCAAAAACACTATCAAATGTTCGAAAGAAAAATATATAGTTCCATTTAAAAAACCAAACATTGCCATTATATTTTTGAAAATAACAATGCAAAAAAAAATTCGTCTACGTCAAAATATTGCCCCCTCTTACCATGCAATGACCACCGAAGCAATTTCTTGTATCTTTAATAGTTTAAGAAATAATGGAGTGTTTCCAGTTACGCGGGACACACTGCATGTGTAGATATAGTTTCAAGATGATCGAAATCGGAGGTGGCTCCCTTATTCTAAATATTTACCCAATAATAACAGCTATAAGGAAAATCAAACTTGAAAAGTCCTAAGAACCTCTACGTCAATTGCAAGAACTTTGTTTAAGAATCCAAAAATGTCAGGAATTCGATGATTAAAACTCAACTCGACTCAACCCAACCCAATCTCTTCTCGTCCCAAAAACTTTTCAGATCTCCGAAACATTAGGATTTCCAAGAATTTTGACAACCCGAACGGCATTTTGAGATAAACTTTAATAAACACGACCATGGTTTAGAATTTTGCAGCTCAATCCCAAAACGTAATTCGGCTTCTCGAAATTCTCAGAAATTTTATATATTTTAATATTTTCGAGCTTCGAAACATGTTTGAGATCCAACCTGATTCCAAAACAAAAAATTTTCGATCCGACCCGACATTTACAAGTTTTCGAACATCTTTACATGTCCACAACCAAAATAGCACAGAGACATCGTTAAAACATCATAATGATATCTGTTCCAGATGTTGAGGATGTCTTACAGACATCTGATAAATCTTGCGAATGCCTGAAATACGTCTTGTTAACATCCTATGTTACAAAACGTTCGTTTCGTACGTTCTTAAGACGTGTTAAAAACGTGAATTTCAGACGTCTTTACAACGTCCGGGATGAGACGATTCAGATCTAAAATAGTCGTAAAATGTGTACTATCTGGGAAAAGAGTAGGCTTATTGATCGTGATGAAAATTTTCAACAATATACAATACTTTGTTACATGTGCAATAGTATACAAACTAAAAATAAATTAACTGACTTTATGATTCCCTACTTGTGTTCTGAATTTACTTTCATTGCTCATAAATGTTTCAATTAAAACCAAATAATATTTTAAATAGAAAGGAAATTTCGGTAAATAAAATAATTTGATCTTAATAACCTGAAGCATAAAAAAAATTATTACACTTACTAAAATGCAGCTTCCTCTCTTCCCACCTTCCTTCTTTCCACCCTCCTGGAGGGAAAGAGTGACAAAAACCCATTTTCCCATTTTGAGAAACGGAGAAAACTTTCCCTTCTTGGGCTCTTGCAGGCACGCCTATACGAACATAAAACAGCATCATTTGTACTCCGTCGTATGTCCCCACCTGAGCACAAAAATCCATCAAAATCTAAATACGTGTTGATCAATATTCTTGGATAATAATAAAATAATACATAGATTTGAATACTTTTTTCTTTTATTTGTTATAAATTAATAAAGACGTATAAATGCAGGATTGAATAATGTAATATTCCTTAATTTGTTTTCAAAGTTAAACATATAAGAAAAAAATGTATATTAATTTATTGTTTTATTTGTTCATCACACTTACAAACCACGTCAACGGTATACATTAGCTAAGTCGCTTATTAAAGCTAATGTAGCATTAATTTATCTATAATTCTCGACGGTATTATAATTTCGATTATATATACGATTTAATGATCATTTTCGAACATGTTTATATTGTAATAAGAAATTGAATCCTAAATAATTACGGTGTGGGTTTCCTTAATAATTTTACATATTTGAGTATAATAAATTTCACATTCTTTTTGTACCAATTGTAAAATATGTATGTTGTTAAAATCATTTTTTAAATACGGTGAAAAAAGATTTGTTTCACTGCCACAGTCTTATACTGTATAAGAGATTCTAATATCGTATGGGACATCTTATAAAGATAACATAAAAATGATAAAATTTAAAAGAAAATAGAAAAAGATTAACCATAATATTTAATATGCGAACAAACTTAGTCATTATAAAAATATATTTCAAGGAATCACAGATTCAGTATGTACAAAAGGAAAAAGATTAAAGAGCTGAAGGTAACATGAGTTTAATCGGAAGAATCAGTTGTAGTTGAAATGGTGTGTGACAAAGGCTTCGATCGATTACAATAACTCCTTCTTGCTACGTCCACCTTTTTTCTAAAGTATTCTAAATTTTTTAATTTCTGCTCATGGTCCGAGCTCTCTGCATCGTTTTGCTCTTTCTGTGCCTGTTCGTAATGTTTTTCTGTTGTTGAAACCCCTGACGTAATACCACTGTCAGGAGTCGAAGGAACTTTGCATGTTTTATTCACAGGTGTTGACGGGCCATCTTCTTGAACCTTTGTTGTACTAACACCGTTCAAATAACTTTTCCAGTCGGGTTTCTCCTTCTTTGTGTCGTACTCAAATTTCTGGCGTTTGCTTTTATTTTTGGTGGCATCGTTTTTTGAATTATTTTTACACTTTTTGTGTTTTCTTCTGTGTACTTTCGAGGAAGTGTCGGAATCAATTTTTGCATATTTCCGCTTACCAGAACTGTCATTATCTTCTGAACTGCTACTGCTGTAATTCGAATGTTTTACGTCACTTTCAATAGGATTCACAACATACTGCGATCTCCTAGAAACTACACCAGAACTGGTACTAGGCTGAGTCGTGTCAACAAGTTGTTCGTCACTATCAGAATCACTATTAATTTGTAACATTGCACATTTTCTTCTGGCCCTACTTCTTCTTTCGGAAACTTTACCATGTTTTCTCTTCACACCTTTTAATTTTGATTTTAATTTAGATTTACACTTTATTTGTGCATTGTCCCCCTCACTAGCTGAACCTGACACGGATGGTTCTGATATGGCAGCGGAAGCATTATTTGCCGGTGTTCCGCAATCCACAGTTGCAAGTCTCATGAGCTTTTCTCTGCGATACGCTATAAGTCGGGTTATACGGTTTGGAGACTCCAACGGTCCTCCAGAAGGAGCGCGTGACGATACGATTCCAAGCATATTTAACATCAACTCATCAGATGCTGTAGATGCTATGAAAAAGCAAAATAATATATAATCACGTTTTATTAGTTTAGAATAATTATGTATAAAGAAGCGTACCATCGGAATCGGTGGCACTGTAAAAACGTCCAGCTGTAGGATTGCTTTCAGAATCACTGGGTGTTCTTGGTGCTGTCGACATGTCTTCCGAACTCCATCCTTCAACTTCACGCTGTACCAAAGAATCAAAGAATGCCATCATTCTTGAATCTTCCCTGGTCGACTGATGGCTATAATCATGCGTCATAAATTGACCACTACTTAACACTAATCTAATATATTCATCATGCGTAAATACTCTACGTTGTCTCTCTTGTTTTCCATCTTCTCTCTAAAAGCATAGATGCAGAACAAATAATGTAAATTATTAGCAGAATAAAATATAGTGAATTTATGACAATGTACAATACCGAGCATGGTAAGCTTCCTTAAGGAAAATAACGATATACGAGAAGGGGATTCGCTCCTTGAAATAATATTAAAGACTTAAGTAATGCATGAATAATTAAATGAAAAAATGATCATTCTCAAAACCCTAACTTTGAAACTATTAAGATCAATTTGGGACAGATTAATATTTTTAATCCTTAAAATTTAGTACATAAATTAAATTACAAAATCTTAAGATTTCAAAATTTAAATTTTGAAGTTCTAAAATCCAAACTTCTAAACTGCAGAATACAAAGTTTTATAAAATATCATAATAAAACAAACATTAAATCATATTTTTGCGAATAAACGTTTACCCGAGACGAGTAATGCGACTTTTTTTCCCCAAAGCAATCATTTTCCCTAGGAATGTCTACCGTGCTCGAGACCTGTGTGTTACCTTTAAACCACCTAAACATTTACTTCCAAGAGGAAATGGACTCCAGATTTTAATCAATTTCTCAACTCCAGATGAAGCAATAATACAACTAGCTGGATTATACCGCACTTGATTAACAATAGATCTATGACCACGTAACACCATATGTGCAGAATTTACCCATTTCACATCTTCAGAGGGAATTTTCCACATGTATAAATTAAAATCATCCGATCCTAAATATAATTAATTACTTAATTAGTCATGTATACAAATATTAATGGAATATTAAACAGTGCTATCACATACCAGAAAGAACATATTCATCATTATCTCCAGCAAAACAACACGATTTCATTGTGCAGCTGTTATAATACCCAGGATGATCAAATTGACATAAATGAGTAGAAGAATCAACAGCATAAAGTACAGGAGGTAATCTTCTTCTCAAAGCTAATAATCTGTTACCTGCTGCATTGAATCTAACGTTCATGCAACTCTGTGCTGAGCTTTCATTTCCATAACGTAATATAGGTCTAAAAATATAAAAGACAAAATTAATTTATTTCATTTAAAGATTTTCATATAATTGTTTAATCCATTGATTGCTTACTCCAAAGGTTTTCGTACATCCCACATACTAACACCTTCTTTGGCATTAGCAGTAGCAAGCATTCTAGGTTCTACAGGATTAAACATTACAGAATGAAAAGCAGTTTTGTATTGTGCCAAACAAAAAGTTTCTATAGCACTGGATCCCCGTATGTCATAAATAAGAACTCTCCCATCATCACAGGCGCTTGCAAACACATTATCATTGTGTGGATGAACCGACAATCCATAGACTGGTTTCTCATGTAAAAAGAAATCTACAACATCCCCTCTATAATAGAAGAGAAACTGCTGTTTAAATTGTATGTAATTACATGTAAATCTCTCAAATCAAAAATATTCGTACGTTCGTAGATCATGAACAATAACTTGATCATCATTTCCAGCAGAAAATATCTTTGTTTTACTACTGTCGTAACCAAGGCAAAAGATATTACTAATGTGTTGTGCTTTCATTACAACAGGTTTACCCACATCTTGTATCGCTTGTTCTACTTTCCATAATAAAACCCGTCTATCATCACCACCTGTCAAATTAATAAGAAGATAATTTCATATTTATTTCTCTTTAAGTAATCAATCCACAATATATATTTCAACAGAATACTTTAGCTTTACATTAAACAGTAATCACACAGATTTAGAAAATATAATTGCAACATGTAAAGCTATATAATTATTCATGACATCATACGGTTTTAATTTTCCGTCAAAATTTCAATACTCAAAATCGACGGGCATAGTACCGTATTAAATAGAATAAATTAGATACATTATTGGTTACCGGAAACAAGAAGATCTCCCTGATTTGAAAATTCAATCGCGTTAACGCATCCATAATGAGAAAGTAGATCCTTTTTGAAGAGATTTTCGGAATTTTTGAATCTAGCGTTAACGAGGCGTTTACAGTGATTTACTTTGTCATCAATTTGTCTTGCGATAAGATACGAAAGCGGATTGCAATCAAACGGATGGGCCATTTTTTGGACAAATACTGATATGTATAGAGAAACGGATAAAACCGCCGTCTTTCACCCTTCGTCTCTTTTTTCCATGTATCCAACTACGCCTGTATTTTCTTCTTTCTTTAAATTCCTCGTTAAACTAGAAATCTGAAGGCTAGCTCAGTTGTCAGTAGAACCGGACGAATCTAGAGAACAGGGAAATTTATAACCGCGTGAAAATTCACGGAATTATTATAGGTTACTACTATTAGAAGTTTTGCCGTGGTCAATCTTATATTTATTATGTGACAGACGTGTCGCGAGTATACGCCTCGTAACTCACGCAAACACAGTCCACACAAGGCGAGTATCACGTATGTAGTGTCTAGCGCCATCCTTGTTCTGTTTCTTGCGCTGCAGTGTGAGGAATTTGGCGCGAAATAGATCAAAATACAAATATCATGCTTATTTTGTCTTTACGGTTTAATGCAAGATATCACAAAAACCTTCTTTAACAGTTTTTGTAATAGTTCTTCACCTCCTAATTAATATTATTACGTATTAATTACTTTTGAAGAAAAGGAAAAGGAATATTAAAATAGAAAAGAAGAATTTAAATTTTTAATTGTTCCTATTTACGTAAGAGCTAATTAACTCTGAAAAGAACATTTTGCAAGGTCCTTTAATCTTAAGTATTGCTTTATTTAATGAAAGTAAATTAAATTTAACCTAACCTAACACGTCAGGGAAATCTAGCAAAACAGTATTCTATTCACGCTTAAAATTCTGTCCTAAAACTCTTTAGTTCTATCCTTACTTAATTACACGCTTGTTTGGTATCATTCTTATCCTAATCTATAGACACTGGTTATGATGTGGAGAATTTGGCGCCAAGTAGATAAACATTTGAATATCATACTTTTACTTTTGGTACTGAATTGGTATAATAAAAACCTGATAATGTTTTTAATAACTAAAGCTTTAAAATTCAAGAAATCCTTTAGACATTTTAAAATAATAATAATGATATTTATTCAAATATGCTGAATGATATCCTTTGATATAAAAAATGATTAAAAATCTGGACGGACACTCCCCCCCACTCCCCGCAATGTAGACCTTCGCCATTCTAAAATTTTAAGATTTAAAAATTTCATATTTCCTACATTTCAAAATTTCAAAACTCAAATTCCTAAAAATTTCAAAATTTCTTAGGGACCTGGCTTACCCCAGAAAAACATCCAAGTTACGCCAATGAATGTTACAAAGAAAAGATGCACAAGAATATACAAAAATAATTTGTTGGATGAGTAAAATTATTTTTTAAAGAATATACAAAAATTTCTTTCATTTGTCTACTAAATAAAATAAAATATACTTTACTTTCGATGTTAAAAGCTTTGAGTAATCTCAATTTCTTAATTTTGGTGATATGTATACTAGTCTAATAAATGAAGTGGACGAATTACCTGTGTAATGTGAAGCTAGGTTTAGAGTGTACTAATATTTTGGAAAACATTCCTCTTCGAAATATATGTACAGTCTACAACACACTTTTGACCTTTAAACAATTTTATTACACAGTACAATTTATTGCAAAAAAAATGAAAAAGGAAGGTAGTCTAATAAGTTAAGAAATTGTTGTAAGTAAATATAGTACATATGAAGTATATGGATACTTATTTTTAATTAATGCATACATTATTTATTCTGTAAAACTTCCAATATGTTTCGATAATAATTTATATAATTGTTTTGTATACTTATAAAGTATTTAATCCCATTTTACACTTTCGAGTAATTTTTATTAAAAAATTTTCTGCCACGTGTATATTACTTTTTTATCAATTTTTGGACCATTTGGCGAAAAAAAAACTTGTCGTTTGTGACGATATATTTTTATTTATATAGCTAAAACAACGATTCAGCGTTTTAACTGGTGAAGCGTACCCATTACATATCTAGTTCTACTCTAATTATACTACTCACAACCGTCCGAATGATTCAGAATTGGTGCGCTTAACATCTTAAAGTTTCATGTCATTGTCCAGGGTATAAATATCCTTAACTAACATAAAATCACACAATTTGATACAATTTTTGAAAAATTATCATATTATAATTCAAAGGATGTGAATTTTCCATATTTCAATTTCTTTATGTTTTTCCTTTACAGTGCTGCCCTATAAAAGATTAACGAAAAAATACAACAAGTTATTCTTGAACTATTTGTATGTGAAAAACGTTATTCGCAAAACAGTTAAATGTTCACAATGTGAATATATTGTAGTTTTGAGGAGTTTGCAATTATTAATTTCTCATTATTTACATTATTATTATTATAAGCGAGCGTAATACCATAATGTGTTAATTTACAATCTTTACATCAATGCATTCCACGATATTTAAATATTAACATAGCTTGTTGATTTATCTGTTACGTCATGAGGACATTCAACAAAGATTTCTACAAGAGACCTTAATACTTCATTGCGTACAGCAATTAACTGGGTCAAAAATTGTCGGGAGTGGGGGGGGGGGGGGGGGGGGGGGGGGGGCGAATAATTAATTAAAATAATTTTGTTAATTTTGTATTAAAGACTCATTTTATTACTGATTTTTTAGCTTATGTATGAATGATGGAAACAAAATTCGAACATCGAAAGTGTCAATTGTGAACGACTCCTCACAGGGCAATGAATTTTTATACATGTATACAACTATGAAGCTTTAGTTGAAAAATAGATTTGACCTTGAAATGCCCCCTGAAGGTCAAGGTCAAGGTCAAGGTCAAGGTCAAGGTCAAGATCGACGTTATCTTCAAGTGTCTGTTCGAAATCTATAATTTTTATACCTAAAATTTTTTCTAAATTCTAACCCCTTCATGATATTCACAAATCCCGAATTTTGTCGTACTCCTTATAGAATCAGTGACTATATAAGGTATTTTGCAACAAAGAAATAATACAAGTGACATCTTTTTCTTTATTTACAACTTGATAACGACTTAACTAACCATTTCTGTTATTAATTTTAGAATTTCAAAAAATGTTACTTGCATCCCTTTGATTCTAAGTTCCTCGTATCTAATATATTTCTTTTATACACTTTTATGGGTTTTAAATTAGAAGGTTTGTAGCGGAAGATTGATACATAAAAATAAAAATACTTCCTCGTCGTTACATCAGTTACGTCATTTTATGTTAGAGGATATTAAGGTAATAATTATCTATTAGACACAATTCGAGGATTACGGTACGCTTTACATAGTTGTGAATAACGGTGACGATACTATGATTTGACAGAATATTGTTCTTCGTACAACACAGTAGTATTATTCGCTCCTTAACTGGTAAATTTTTCTTTGATTGTTTCTTCGTTTCGGCATCGTGTTTCGCTTCCAATATTGATAGTTTCACAATTCGTTCCGAAAAGAATCACGACTATTTTAAGGATGCTAGTTTTTATAATATTTGGTTTCATTTAAGATAATAATCGGAGAGTTACAGGCAGCAGTTCATAAAACTTAATGTCACTTAAACATATTAGGAGGGCTGAAAATTTGTGTATGAATAACTTAATTGAATGTAGAAATAAAGTGATGGAGAAGCACAGCGTCTGAACATGTCGCATTACTGCTTTGATACGTCATGCTAATGGTTTAAACTTTAAACCATGAGGTTTCATTTTAATAATAATGAAAATTTAACTTTTGAACTTGCCTTGGTATTTTTTAAACTAATTTTTAATGTTTCAAATTAACTTTACAATTACATCTAATTTTGATAATAAAACTGTAAAAATATCAATCCAACTATTTTGTAGATTCTTCTAATTGATAAGTATTATGCTAAAGGAGATACAGCTTTCTAAAACTTCGATATTAAACATTTTTTAAACTACTTACCATCTACGTCAAAAGTTATAAGAACACAAGAGATACTCGTAACAACGATTTATCATCATGCAAAAACTCATTAAAATCTAAAAAGTACACTTGAGTGGCTTCCTTGTTAGTATCTCTTTGTATTCATTACTTTTAGTTATTATCAGTAAAAAGCAGTGGCGTAACTACGTAGGGACTAGGATGGGCTCTTCTCTCCTGAAACTGTGAATTGTCACCCTTACCATTTTAAAATTCCTTAGATTCTAAGAGTTTAAGGTTCAAAAATTTCAAAATTCTCAAATTTCAGAATTCCAGTTTTCCAATGTTCAAAAATTTCAAAATTCTAAAACTTAAAGCTTCTCAAATTCCAGAATTCCAAGCTTCTAAAATTCTACAATTCTTTCGTAAAATCTTAGTAATAACTAAAAACAAACCACACAATAATGTTCTTATTACATGAAACTATGAATAAAAGAAATTAAACAGTATTAGAATTAAGTTAAAATTAAACAATATTAAACACTTGATTAACCATTAAAAATCAAAATTTAAAAGACCTGACCTACCTCAGAAAAAATCCTAGCTACGTCAATGATAAAGAGGTAAAATTTAAAATAAAGATACCGTCGCGCCGCCCTTATCTATGTATGTATTTTTGCATTTTTTTTAAATTATATGTATACACTATATTATTATAATAAAAGATCGTACATAATGTATACATAACTAATAGTTTGAATTTACGATAAAAAAAGAAAGAAATAGAAAAATATTTTGTAAATATAAAAAATTAAAATTTGCCAGCACAAATCAAATTTTTGGTTAAACTTTACTTTAGGGGATACCAAATTTTTGGGGGTATGGGTTCCATCACTAGCTGTATTTAAATTACTCATAAAATTGATACAGTAGAAAAGATAAGTATAAACCTAATTAACTCACAATCATACAATATCAAATTTACGGTTTGACTAAACCCGCAAAAGTGGTCGGCACCTGCTACCTGCAGCTAGCGACACCGTTCATTGGACAAGAAGCCAATATGGCGTCACAGTAACGTAGCAAATGCACTAAAAGTGTCAAACTTTATACGCTCATAACTTTTTAACCACTAGATTCCTTGCATTTTTGGATTCTACACATTTTGTCCAAAATTTTGGGTCCGCTAAAATAAAGTTCAGCCAAATTTTTTAATTTCTTTTCAATTTTAAGTATCAAAAGATTTTTTCTTTCAAATAAGTTTACCTGCTATTACAAAAATACACATTGTATGTAATATAAGTTTAAAAATTCACGGAACACTTATAGAAAAAGTTGGTGGGACATTATAATCACTAAGGACATAAATCCAACGAGAAAAATAAATATGTACACTTCCTTTATTAAAAATTATATAGGCATTACAAGTTATATAACAGCGAAAAAAGGAAGTAATAATTTAAAAAATATTATTATTCGCAGAACTGTAATAAACTTGCAGAACACCGGTTAAGAACCACTGCTCTATATAACAGATAACACACATATAGTATATATTTAGTTAGTATAATCCAGTATAATCGCATGAATAGTTTCACGTGTTCTCAGTTGTATCTCTATTTTTATATATCTGTACAAAGAAAAAATTATATGATACTTAAATGATACGTCATGCTATTACGTATCACAATTTCTTAATAGTTTCTTTCAGTATTCGTAACGTGTTCTTCGTAAGTTGGAAGCAGAATAGCGGAACGAATACTCGGGTTGCTGTTTAAATTTTAGGTTAAATTTTGTATCAATTCAAAATAATAGAACATGCGTGCAATTATTGCAATAGTATGCGTCTTCCTTGGTTGTTGCAGCAACGTCGTTTTTTTAGAGCTTCTTGTTAAGTAAATATTATTTGTTTATTTTCTATTTTATTATAAATATTACTTTTGTACAACAATTTTAATAATTCTCTCATTTTTAAAAACAGTAAGTGTAATATTGAATTATGTAATGAAAAAATAATAATGGTGATTTATTTTAGAGAAGATCCAGGTAGTGGAAATCTCATTACATTTCTACAGTTCCTTTTTATATCGTTAGAAGGATTTTTATTTACTTCAAAATGCGGGACTGTAAAGCCCAATATAGGAATAAAGGATTATTTTATACTAGTAACAATGTTTTTTATTGCTAACGTTTGCAATAATTGTGCATTTGATTTTAACATACCCATGCCGCTACATATGATATTCAGAGCTGTAAGTATGTGAATATAATTTTGTAAATACAAAATTATTACACATTAATATTATTGTTTATTTTCTAGGGTTCTCTGATAGCTAATATGATTATGGGTATTATTATTTTAAAGAAAAAGTATGCTTTTAGCAAGTATTTATCAGTATTTATGATAACCCTTGGTATTGCCATCTGTACAATTGTTAGTGGTAAAGAAATTAAATCGTTGCAAGCTAAAAATGTTGAACAAATACCTACCACTCCATGGGATGATTTTTTTTGGTGGGCATTAGGTATATTATTGTTGACTGTTGCATTATTTGTTTCGGCAAGGATGGGCATTTATCAAGAAGTATTACATAAAAAATATGGAAAAAATGCAAGAGAAGCGTTGTATTATACGGTATCCTTTTATCTTTACTGTATTATTAATATTTGTAAAATGGTATATAACACCAAATACCTCTTTCCAGCATCTGTTACCCTTACCGTTCTTCTTAACATTGGCTCCTAATATCTGGGAACATTTTAAGTATGCTCTTGCATCGGAACCAATGAATATATCAATAATTAACTTAGATGTACCAAAGTTAATTGCATATCTTATAGGAAATATTCTAACACAGTATCCTTCTCTTAATATCAAGATAATGTACATTTAAATTATAATTTGTTTGAAAATTATCCTTAATAATATTTTCAGATATATGTGCATCAGTTCTGTTTTTGTATTAACAACAGAGTGCACATCTCTCACCGTAACTTTAGTAATAACATTAAGAAAATTCTTGTCTTTAATTTTTTCTATAATATATTTTAAGAATCCGTTTACAATCTATCACTGGATTGGTACTCTTTTAGTATTTACAGGAACTGTGATATTTACAGAATTAATACCAAAGATTATAGAAAACTTGCCGTCAAAAGAGAAGACAATAGTACAAGATAAGAAAGTGCAATAATAAATATGATTTAATAAATAAAATATTATATGCTGTTTAATATAACATAAATAAATTGAAAATGTAAGTACTATCTTCTAGTTTGAAAGAATCGCCAAAAGTATCTAAGGTTTTTTATACATCTTTTTGTATAATATTTTTATAAAATAGATGTTTAATAGATACTTTATGTCATATCACAAATAAAATTTTCTTTAATTTAAAAAAGACATTGTGAATACGATTCACAGTCTGTACAGTACATATGTCGGGTATCCCAGTAACTGTGTTATAAGGTCATATCGTTATTATTAATGGTAATTAAAAGTAATCAAAAACGTCAAAGGAATACAATATGTATTTATATTAGGATGATTCTTCACAATTATATATGAAATTCAATATCGTGCAAATGGTCAGTCGAACTTTTGATACATGATAGTTTATTGTGAATCCGGCCGTCCGAAGACAAGCGCGGATATGCCACCTCACCCGATCGGGTATATGCAACTTAACCATCCACTCCCCAGCAACCACCACCACCCAGGTCACAGCGATTGGAAGAACTGTCAAACTCATATTTTTCAAATCATCGTTATCGGGTACGGAAGATCCAACACTTGACTCTTTGTCGGCGTAAGGAATTTTGCTATAGGACGCGTCTACTTTGTCAAGCTTACCTGACTGGTAATAATTCACCAACCAGGCGCTTAACGCTTTTGATACATGATATTACTCTTTTCTCACAACACTGACTTATTCTTTAATATAGTCCCAAATAAAAAATCTAAGAGCTTTAAATCACACGACCTTAGTGGCCAATTGACATTACCGTTGTTTGAAAGAACCCTGTCGCTAAACTTTGACCGTAATAAAGTTACTCTGTTTCGGTGGATGTAAGGAGCTATGTCAAAGAACAAATCTACAGGAATAACAAAGGAACTCAAGGAAATTATTCGACGGGCTGTTGATCAGATTAAACAATGTTATGTGCGAGTGTAATAAAAAATGTTAAGAAAAGAGTAATATCGTGTAAAAAAAGTTTGGGTGACCATTTACATGATATTGTATTTCACATATGATTGTAAAGAATCATTCTATGATATACAATTAAAATTTTACAAATTTTTTTAATTTAAACATGTTTTATTCACAAGAAACTTCTAGAAGCTCTTGTTGAGACACCCTTTATTTGTCTCTCCGAACTAAATTATTTAAATAAAGAGATATCGACTTGTAACAGACTTATTGGGACAGCCTGTATATATAGAAACTAAGTACATATATTCTTTCAATTTAGGAAGAGATGTTACTTTAGAAACATAAATAAAGTAATAGAAATTATAACCATGCCTTTAAATATTTACTATTTTATATATAGTAGTAAATAAGTTTAACTAATATTCTATCTATCGATTACAAGAAATCTCACGGGATGGCACACGGGCAAGAGAGGATACAGTATTGTCTGGAAATAAGCAACTCGCTCGGGACCGAACAGTTAATTTATCCAACCCAACTTATTAGCTAGAATAGCTAGCCTGTGAATTAGCTTAGCTTAGTTTTCCTCAGCTAGAAAAGTGATTTTTTAAAATGGCCATAACTTTGTAATGCCACGTGATATCGACCTCGGGACACTTCCTATCGTCTTCTCTGACCTTGATTTATCCGATAAAATAGTCGAGATCAATTACCCGGAAAAATGTAATCTAACCGGCCTCCTAGAGGCAGCCGGAATATTAATATAACCTAACCTACACTGACCTAGATGTATAAATAACTGAAAAAATAATCTTGTGGTGCACAATGATTAATACCAATGTTGAAGGAATATACAGTCAGCCGCAAAAGTATTCGTCCATGTACCGTATTCGATGTATATGGAAGAAATAGAAGGCAAATAAATGTACAATTTTTCATTTAAAGGTATAGAAGTAAACTTTATTTACGTAAAACAAGATACCATTCGCGAAAGTTGATAAATGTCATACAGAAAGAAAAAATTAAGGAATATGTTGCGGTATGTCAGAAAATGGGACCGCAAAAGTATTCGTCCATCGATGATTTTGTAAAACTATAGATATTTTAAACTTAAAATTAGTTGTTTAATGTTATTAACTTAATATTTTGTAGGATATCCGTTAGATCTGATTATAGCCTCAAGTCTTCTAGGCATTGATTTTATTAATTTTTCTGTAAAATTGACAGATATTGTTTGCCATTCTTCTTTAAATCGCTCCTTTAGTTCTTCTTTATTTTTAGGTGGTCTTTTTTGAATCTTTCTTTTAATTTCGCTCCATATATTTTCTATGGGGTTGATGTCCGGCGACTGGGGTGCTGTTCGAAGGTAATGCGGGGTATTATAGAGGATCCATTCTTGGACAATGCGAGCGGTATGCTTTGGGTCATTGTCTTGTTGAAATATAAAATTATTTCTTATATCCAATTTTTCGGCACTTAACAATAAATGTTACTTTAGAATATTTAAATACATCCACTGACCCATTATACCCTCTATAAAATGATACTCTCCAACTCCAGTCGCCGACATGCTTCCCCACACCATTAATGATGCACCTCCGTGCTTGACTGTAGGTGTCAAGTTTTCTTTTTGATATGCAGTATTCGGTCTTCGCCATACATCCCTACGAGGGGCATCAAAAACACAAATTTTTGTTTCATCTGTAAAAATAACGCGTTTCCAAAATTCTTCTGGCTTTGAAACATACTTTTTGGCGAATTGCAATCTCTTCTTTCTGTTTGTTGCATTGATCCACGGTTTTCTCCGACTCTTTCGACTCTTAAAACCTGCTCCATGCAGCACACGTTCAACTGTATCGACACTGACAACTTTTCCTGACGTTGATTGCACGTTTTCTCACAATTCAGGTCCGGAAATTTGCGGATTCTTTTTAACAGTCCTTACAATACTTGTCCCTTCACGGGAAGTCAATTTCCTGGGTCTGCCTGATCGCGCTTTATTTATAATCATATTTTCTTCTTTAAATTTTTTTAGAATATACTGTATTGTACTTCTAGATCTTCCTATTATGGTTCCTATTTTGCGCTCGGATTTACCCTCTTTAAATAACTTAACAATAATTTCACGTTCGGATAGAGATGTTTCACATTTTTTGCGATTCATGGTGGATATTAATTGCATGCTTATTGAAGACGGACTGTGCGGAATTGTTGCTAGTTGACAAAACATAATCACTACTGAGAATGCTGTTTTTCGCTTGTTTTAAACGAATTCAAGTATTTTATTTAACATAATAGTTCGTGGACGAATACTTTTGCGGTCCCATTTTCTGACATACCGCAACATATTCCTTAATTTTTTCTTTCTGTATGACATTTATCAACTTTCGCGAATGGTATCTTGTTTTACGTAAATAAAGGTTTACTTCTATACCTTTAAATGAAAAATTGTACATTTATTTGCCTTCTATTTCTTCCATATACATCGAATACGGTACATGGACGAATACTTTTGCGGCTGACTGTAATTTCCATCGTTACTTGTATATCGTTAGGCCAAAAACTTTAAAATAAAAAGTATTAAATCTTATAGTTTTTGACCTGAAAAATTCGAAAATGCAGGTTAAATGTCCAGGAAACCAATGGTTTAAAAAATATAATTGTGTTAAAAAAGTGTATTTAGCGTACTTTGACAGGTTAGTACAACGCCATATTGCCTCTACCCATCTTCTGATTGGTTCGCACATAAATTCGAAATCTGTTCATACCACTGATATACATACATATATCAGTAAAGGTAGGTTTTGTAAAATTAACCAAATACATCTTAAGAATTCCTTGATCGTAGTAATCAAGGAGCAGTACGTTTTTTAAATAGGGTAAGCGTAAGTTACAGTCATTTTAACGAACCAATCACAGAAGGCGTAGAAACAATATAGCGTCGTACTAACCTGTCAAACATCACTAAATACGTACATTTTTAAACAATTGTATTGTTTAAACCATTGGTTTCCTGGACGTTTAACTTGCATTTTCGAATGTTTCAGATCAAAAACTGCAAGAACACATATTTTGGACCCGTTAATTTTTGGTCCCCTAAGGCGAAGTTAGACCCAAATTAATATTCCGGCCGCCTTTAGGCCAGGCCCTCCAAGCTCCACTCTTGTGATTCACAAGTTGTGAATTTGATGCAAATTTTAACTCGGCGCAGAAAATCCAGGCGGCGCTGATGTCGCTTCTCTACATGCATACCTTGTACCACTGATTTTAACATACACAACTAAAGATATCGTGACGTCATGTTCCCGCGAAATTTGTCGCCGCGTTTTTCAATTGTTTCAAAATTTAAAGAGACTGAAGAAATATGGCGCATAGTGGGTGACAGTGGTGACAGAATTTCCAGGTTCGTGAATTCCATTATTATAATTATTACTATTATTATTATTACTACTATTATTATTACTATTGCTATTATTATTATGACTATTATTATTACTTAAAAAGATATTTTTTTTAATTTTTTCTACGTTTTTAAGTTTTTCAGTAACTTCTGCTGATGAGATGCAACAACAGGAAGAGAAGATAGAAATTAAGTAAGTATTAACTGTTTACATTGCTGTTTTAGTAATATATTTAATTTTAATTATTAAAATGTATCTTTAAAAAAAGAGTAGCATCAGAGGGTGTATTAACGAAAATAACAGGATGTTCTTCTTCCCCCAAGAGAGAAAGGATAAGAAAAGGATGGCACAGTGGGTGGAAGTATGTGACAACCCAAATTCGGTGCTTCCACCTAAAAACTGAAATTCTGGGTGATCTGTAGCAGCTACTTTAAAGAAAAGTACTTCATGAGGAAAAGATTTACAACATCAGCAGTTCCAACATTGAACTTATTTGGTAATAACTCTTATATACTTTTTATAGCATATGTAAATAATTGTTAATGAAAATAATTATTGCAGAGGCTGTAATAAATATTGCATGTCAGAGGCTGCCTCTATTAAAATAGAGCAACAAGATACCTGGATGCAAATGAAAAGAAGAAGAAGATTGTAAGCATTCAGTTTACATATACAATATATAAAACCATTAACATGGTATTAATATATTAAGTATAATCTGTGAGCAGAGTGTGTGTTTTATTGTATGTATGATTGTGATTAATTGTATATTATTATTGATATATATATATATATATTTATTATATTTTTGTAAAAATTTAATATATTTTCTTTATTATACATATATTGTTGTCATTTTTCCCCTTTCATTATTTTTATTTTTGAAATTTCAAACTTAAGTTTTGAATAAGTAAGACCATGCACACGTATATAGGGATCATGTGCTTGTGTGTGTGTACCTCACCGATATCATTTATATGTGTTCGTATCGACACCAGCGCCGCCTGGATTTTCTGCGGCCAAACTAATTTTAGTTACAGCATTAAATATGGGAGTTTGGAGGGCCTGCTCTAGGCGGCCAGCCACGCAAGTCTAATGTCAAGATAATTGAAATTAGTAGTTTACTTTGATTTTAAGCTGACTCGTAACATGGACGGTAGCCGGGCCATGTGGTGCTGTTGACAGAAACAGTCATAGCGTTTTGCGAATATCTCGCAATCTAATCAAGTCCGACATTTAGCTTAGAGGAAAAAAATTGCTTAAAATGACGAATTTTACAACATATTTAAAAATCATCGAAATCGGAGAAGAAATAGCTTTTCTACAAGTTCACCGACATTTTTATTACTTCTTATTGTAATTAGGAGTTTTTATAGTAAATGTTAATTTTTATTTTACACGACGAGTATAGACGTCAACCGTACCGAAATAAAGTTTTAGATTGATGTTAACTGCGGTTGGACTTTACCAAAAGGTGGGACACAAATCCGGATGGGTCATATATCATTGGAAAGCCCTTGACGAGAGGAACACAATGGCGTGGGTGGGAGGTCTTAAATATGTGACCTTGACCCGCTAGAGGTCAAAAACTAAGATGATTTCAAATATATATATTGAGTTTACTCAAAAGCTGGGCGGCAAATCCAGATGGGTCATATGTCATTGGAAAGCCCCTGTGTGGGTGGTAGGTCATAAATATCAGACCCTGACCCGCTAGAGGTTAAAAAATAAAATTACGTTAATTTTGTTGTGCGAGAGGTTTTCGTCCAGATAGACCCGCTCCTGACGCTGAATTATGATAAAAACGCGAATGTTGCTGTGTAACGTGCAAACCACCGCAGATACAGCGCCGTCACCGCCATATTTAGGTTAGGTTAGATTAGGTTAAGTTAGGGTGACGAGGCGTCCACGGACCTGGCCAAGTGTACTGGCTGGGCGGGGAGGTGATACCCCGA